TTGAGAGGTTTACTCAGGCATGTATAACTGCTTCAAGATTCTTTAACTAGTATCTTTTTTCCTTCCTTATGAACTTTCCTTCTGACCAACACTTTGTTCCATGTTAATAGGATGCAACAGCCAAGATTCTGGACCTCATGGAAGGGAAACCAGATCTTGTTATTGGAAATTACACTGATGGAAATTTGGTAGCATCTGTAATGGCTAGAAAACTTGGAATCACTCAGGTCACTATCCCTTTCTCTATTTAATTTTTCCTTTTAAACATTTTTTATGGCTGCTAGGATGTCTTCTTTGTCACATGTACTAATACCTCAGGGTGATTGAAAACCAGGGAACTATAGCACACGCTTTAGAGAAGACTAAGTATGAAGACTCAGATGTCAAGTGGAAAGAGTTGGAGCCCAAGTACCACTTCTCATGTCAATTCATGGCTGATACAGTTGCAATGAATGCATCTGATTTCATCATAACCAGCACATACCAGGAAATTGCTGGCAGGTTTGTTCAAATAGCATTACACACATGTAATCGAGAAGAGAAGAAAACAGTGCCTAAAAATGAAAACTGAGATTTGGAAGTTCATTTTTGCAGCAAAGATAGACCTGGACAATATGAAAGCCATGCAGCATTTACCCTCCCAGGGCTATGTAGGGTTGTTTCAGGGATAAACGTGTTTGATCCTAAGTTCAACATAGCTGCACCTGGAGCTGACCAGTCTGTCTATTTCCCTTACACAGAGAAAGACAAAAGACTCTCTCAATTTCACCCCGCCATTGAAGAACTTCTCTTTAGTAAAGGGGATAACAATGAGCATATGTAAGTGACTTAGTTGCTAGTTGCTACCCTTGCATAGCTCTAACGTTCAGTTATGAATTACTGCATTCTTCCAAATGATTAATTTTTCACTTCTGAAATTATTATGGAAACAGTGGATATCTAGCAGAGAGGAGGAAACCAATCATGTTCTCAATGGCAAGGCTTGATGTTGTGAAGAACTTAAGTGGCTTAGTTCAATGGTATGGAAAGAACAAGAGACTGAGAAACTTGGTGAACCTTGTTATAGTTGGGGGCTTCTTTGACCCTTCAAAATCAAAAGATAGGGAGGAAATGGCAGAAATAAGAAAAATGCATGAATTAATTGAAAAGTATCAACTCAAGGGTCAATTCAGATGGATTGCTGCACAGACTAATAGATATCGAAATGGAGAGCTCTACCGCTGCATTGCTGACACAAGGGGAGCCTTTGTGCAACCTGCTTTGTATGAAGCATTTGGATTAACTGTCATTGAAGCAATGAACTGTGGCTTGCCAACTTTTGCTACCAACCAAGGAGGTCCAGCAGAAATTATTGTTGATGGGGTCTCTGGCTTCCACATTGACCCCCTCAATGGCGATGAATCAAGCAACAAAATTGCTGATTTCTTTGAGAAATGTAAAGTAGATCCAACACACTGGAACATGTTTTGTGCAGCTGGATTGCAGCGCATAAATGAATGGTAACCAACAAACCATATCAATTCCATAGCATAGAACTAGTACAGTTATTATCTAACATTTATGTTACACTTCTATTGCATATAATCATTCCTTTTTATTGTGCTTCAACGACAAATTTAATTTCAAACTTGTTCATTGTTCTGTCTTATAGCTATACATGGAAGATCTATGCGAACAAGTTGGTAAATATGGGAAACATTTATACCTTTTGGAGGCAAGTGAATAAGGAGCAAAAAGAGGCAAAGCAGAGATACATTCAGATGTTCTTTAATCTCATATTCAAGCATTTGGTGAGTTGATATTTGGCTTTTAGACACATACACCAATTATTGCTTAATGAGTTTCTCAAAGGGTTAACACTTCTAATATGTCAATATCACACAGGTGAAGACTGTACCTGTTCCAGGTGATGAACCTCAACAACCAGCGGGCAAGCAGCCAAGTCTCAAACAACAGTCCACCAAGTATATCACTCAACCAATAAATCATTTTTCATCTTTCTGAAGTTAAAAAGGACAAAAAAAAAGGAAGTTGAAGTTAACTGAAATGTTGAATTAATACCTTCATTGGAGTCTTTTTTCCCTTGGGGGATTTGTTTCTTCGGCATACTTATAAATTCGTTAGATAGCTACTTCTTTGTTTCTTTGTTAGCATACATCTTTATGCAGTTAAGAAAATGGTTTGATATTTGATCCAAGCTAACATCTTTTTTCTTTTTCCTTTTTCTTCTTGGTTGGCTGCACCAGACGTTCACAGTCCTTAGTCCAAAGGTTAGGTTAATTATATAGTGCTGTTTTGGTTCATGATTTTTAGCTGTATAATGACTCAAATCAAAAAAACAAAAAAAACTTGCTTCCTTTCAGGTTATTTGGAGCTTAATGGTCTCAACTCTAATCCACAAACCAGGTCAAATACCAGGATGCATCTTGTCACACTGGATGTTGATCTTTCTCTGATGTATATACCTTCTTATATTTATTTTATTTTTGTTATTCATTAAACAAATAAGCTCTGTAATTGATGCAAATTAGAAACTGTTTTATGTGATCAATAAAACGCTGAGTGTGAGGAAATTTATAACAAAGATGGAGCAACCTAATCCCACATCAACTTCTATACAGGAAGCTTTATTAACATACGAGGTACTGGATGATGACCACTCATTGGTCATAGTGTGAAAAATAAATAAGTAAATGCCTCTTTCATTCATTGAGATATATAACAAGAATCTATTCACTACATTTTAAATTTTGGATAATTACAGTCACCACTTGCTCCTATTACACCCTACTCTTTTTAAGAGAAATTACCTTTATATTATTTTTTTATGCATAATTTTTGTATCTATTTCTTTCTTTACTAATAATAATTGGACCTTAATTATTTAATGCATGTGAAAAGAGAGATAGTAACAAAAATTTCACATGACTCAAATTTTAACCGCTCCCAGATTAGCATACTCCCCCATACAACAATCACTAAATTTACATGTTAGTGTACGCTAGATGTATAAATAAACTGTATAACACTTCATAGCTTTTGATCCAAATGAAAATTTCGAATCCATCACTTCTTTCATATTTCAATTGTAAAAAATAAGGGAAATATGTTTCCTGACAATCTTATTTAATGTAATATACAAAAAATGAACGAGACCATTTTTTTTTATTTCTCTTTTCTCTTTAATAGATCCTATCTACTTCTTGTGTGTGTTGTATGATACAAATACGTGAAACATAAAACCCATAAAATAAAATGTATAATACTACCAAAAGTAGAGGAACTGTACATGATCTTAAAAGAAGAGAGATACAGAGCAAACAAGATTGGTAGCGGAAGAGTGGGAAGAGAAGCCTACCTTAAAGTTGACCAAACAGATGAGTAGAAAGCAGGGCATCCAAACTCTATTATTGCCACGAGCCCAAGAGAAACAACGGCAACATCAAAGGCAAAAGTATTTACAGTTAAAAAAGAAAAAAGAAAAAAAAAAAGGTTAGAGTTTTCAAGACTATGGAAAATGAATAGCTGAAATTGGAATCCACTTAAAAAGAAAATGCATTTTTATACCCCATGCATTTTCTCGATAAATTAAAATGATTTATAGGTTTAATGTTTGTATTTTTAAAGTACATAAAATAATGTTATTTTAAGTGAAAAAAGTCACAAACAATAAAAATTATAGTAGAAAAAATAAATACTTTTTAATTTAAATTTTAAATAAAAAATACTGTTATAATTTTCTCTTACTTAAACTAATATAATTATGGATTTTATGTTTGTTATGTTACATAACATAAGTCTACTTTTCTACACACATATAGAAAAAGTGAGGTTTACATATTTTTCTTTCTCTTTCGTCATTCCACTTTCTCTCTCCCTTCTATTGTGTGCGTAGGAAAATAAACTTACGTTATATAATATAACAAATATAAAACCCTATAATTATATATGTTTGAAAAGTACAAATATTTTTGGCATGTTTTTATACGCTGCTAGAAGGAACTCAAACACAGTGGCTCAAATTGAAGTGCGTCGGAAGAGACAACGGATCGAAAATAATGAACTGCTATCTCAACAAATCCATCTTATATGTGGAAGTGGGTGGTGCAATTTGGAAATTTAAATGATTTTCTAAATTTTAAACAAAATAAAAATCACGTACGCAAGTACAAATTAAGCCAATTATATTTTGAAAAAACACCATTCAATTAAGCTGAAATAATCTCATATCGAATTCACGTAGTGATAAATTAAAAAAACCGTAAGTTGATCCAAACACGTCCTCCATTTATATTGAGAAAAATAAAATTAATGAGGTCCACAATACAATTTAAGTGTGGTCATATATCTGATTTGATTTGATTACTCGATCATCTAACGTGAATCAATTCATAAAATATGGATTTAATTAGTTAAGTAACTAAGGTGGTCTTTCCATTTCAATCAACTCAATTCAAGAATTCGATATTTTTCAGTATGCTTTATTCTTACTCACGTTTTTTAGGAAAAAAAATTCAGAAGGTCATCCATTCCAAAATTGTTTCAAGTCAAGTACGCTTAACTATGAGTTCTTCTGTTCCGAATTACTGAAAAGCAGATACATCTTGTGTATAGGTAGTATGAATTAATTATTATAAATTATCTCCAACTGTAGAGTCTCATACCTGCTCAGTGTTTAGAATCTCTCTTTCGAGTATCGATTCAATTCATTCATGTAACCCCCGCCAGAAATTGCTCCTTGTATGTGACATTTCATACCGACGATTACTTCCCGCCCTTGTTAGCACTCATGATGTTACATAAATTATAAAAAAAATTTAAAGATGAACATTATAAGATCGATTGAATACAATTAAGTCTTATAATCAAATAACAAGTGTCAAATTACAATATAATAAGTATATGGATATCAGCCTCCTACTTAATTTGGAGAGAAGCTGAATCTGAGCCTTCTCAAACTAATTCCTTAAGTTAGAGACAAAAATATATGAATTAGAAGATCAAGGGTTTCCTATATTGTGGTTAGCCCACATTGTACAAAGAGCCAAAGATATGGTGAGGAAAATGCCTATTTTCTTCAAGACTGCACTGAATCCTTTCTCACTTTTGACACAATTAAACCAAACCTTTTTTAACTCATTCCATTTGATTATCTCAGATGATTGTCTCATTCTCTTCACATCCACTATGTCTGGTTTCCAAATTTCCACTTCTTCTTTCGAATGAACACAATGTATCAACAGAAGTGCAAATACGAGTACAATCGCATTGGCTATTGCCTTTGATGGCTTTATTAGCTTTCTCATCACATAGGCCTTAAACTTGTTAAAGAAAGAACCTTGGTTCTCCACTATCTTCATCAGTGCCTCTGCATTCTCTATATAATGATTGTTTGCCATCATTGGATTGAGATGAACTTGGACGGTTTGTGAAGGAACTATTTGGTGAAAGAATGTCTCGGCTACTTGTCGAGTCGAAACTAACATCCCATGACTGACCTTAATTTCCTCAATGACCTCAAAGCTTGGAGAACTTGAGTAATCATTAATGTTATTACTATCATCTATGAAGTTCTCGTTAGGGTCATCATCATTGACGAAGCCTAATGAGAAATCATTGATGTAAGTGTCATTGTGCTCCTTGTTGCTATTGTGATGATCAGATTCTGCTGCTAATAAAAGCAATTATTAATTTTGTCGGTACCAAAAAGAACAGATTAGAAGTTTACATAAATATGTATCAAAAAAAAAAAAAAAAAGTTTACATACATGACCAGTATCATTTACCAGAATAATAATAATAATAAAAAGCTAGCATATGGGATTGTTAGTACCTTGCACCTCATTTTCTTCCTTGTTTGTTTGGAAGCTTGAAATATCCTTGATTGGAACAATCTTTTGTTCTTCCATCTGTCCAATTGGGCAGATTAACTATAATATAAATTAACTTCTTGATTATTAATATTTCAGAAAAATATTTCTGCAGTTACTGCAGATAAGTTATTTGCATTTACTCCCAAAACGACGTCGTTTTAAGATTGAAAGATTACAAAATTATAATTATAAAGACTATAATAACCCTGAAATAAATTAAAATTACAAAAATACCATAATTTTTGCCCAAAACGATGTTGTATTAGACTTGCTGCAGATAACTTATCTGCAGTGACGGCAGAAAAAGCGAACCCTTAATATATTTTTTAAAATATTTTAAGGGTCTTTAGCAATACTAGTATTCTCAATCTATGTGATAAATCTTCAATTTTCTGTTAAGACATAGAATCCATTTTTGGGCCATAACCTTAATTGGCCAATTTGGTTTTAACATTGAAATAATATCTTAAATGGGATAATATATGTGTATTAACGAAAATTGAAAAAATAAATATAAGTATACCTTCTCTAAATCTTTTCTTGACATTCCAAGCCATCTTAAATTCTCTACCATCCTCTCTGCCTTGAATTCTTCATCCAAATCTCCAATATCTATGGACATTGTGTTTGAATCTTCCCATGTTTTGTCAACATATCTCATGGAGCTCATATCACTTAAATGGTTGTAATTAGTGCCAACCATGAAAGTGAAATCATCCTCACGAGGAGCACAATTTTCATTCCCACCCCATGCCTGTGAGTAGCTGGACTGATTTATCAATTCCTGAGAAGCATGAGCAACTGAAAGAATTTCCTGCAAGATATCCGTTTCATTTCTGCTTCCGTGTGTGGCACCGTAGGCTTGTGTCATCTTCAGCTCAGAGATTCCAACTTGAGGGAAATCCTCCACCTCCAAAGGAGGCACAGCAAACCTATGCTGCATCCTTGCACACTCTAGTGCTATATCCACCTGCAAAGGAAATCACATGAATGAGGAAAGATAACTTTAAAAATTACAGTTCTTGTTTATATTCAAATATTTGTGACCACTAATCAAGTGGATCAACTAGCGTGTAGTTGTTCCGATGTAGTTAAAAATGAGATTTTACGTAAAAATAACGAGGATACAAAATTATAAAACGTAAAATCGTAACGTAAAAAAAATTGTAAAAGCATAAAAGTGTTTGGAATATTAGTAAAAACGTTTTGATGAAAAAAAAAATCATAAAAATGTAGTGATAAATTGAAATTTTAACTACCATGATTGTTTAAGCTTAATTAATAATTCTGAATTTGCAGTTATGTCAAAACTTGATGGGGAGAACTTTCTCGTCTTTGTGGTTCTATCCGGCTTGAATCCGGATTAGCTAGCGCCCGTTAATTACCAAATACCAAATGATTTATAAAAAAAAAAAATATTTGTACAAAGAAAATTTTGGGTACCTTGGATGTAGGGTATGTTATGGCTCCATAGTTAGGAAGTAAAGAAGTTGTTGGAAGACTAAATAATGGGTCTTCTGATGAGAAGTGTGACCAATTCCCATGATCACTTATCCCACCATTGGTATTGAGAGAAGTCTCATATCTCATGTTGTGGGGTGAGCAAGTTATATCCATTGGCATCAAATAATTTGAGCTATCTAAATCTTCGCCCCTTCCTTCAGAGTGTAGCTCAATGCTTGATGATTGATCGCTTGTAATCTGGTTGGCATGGCTAGTGACATTAACATAGTGCTCCCCAACTTTTGGTGTAATCACTGCACTCTTCTTGAACACACGGCAAAGAGCATATGCATCCTGAAATTATGTTTTCACAAATTAAAAAGAGAGCCATCAAAGTGTGCAATTTGAAAATGAAAATATCTCAGAAAATGAAATTAAGAAGATGAGAAGGTAAACTAACCCAACCTGCAAGCCTGTAGGGGTTTCGCATTCTCTCTCATCAAGACGATATTCATGCATAACCCAATTTGTACGAGAGCCATGGGGTGCTCTACCTCGATAGTAAACTAGGGTTTTCTTCATACCCACTGCCCGAGCCTGTGAATTCACTTTCCGATCCTTACCTGTGGCTTTCCAATATCCAGATTTGGTTGCACGGTTCGTTCTTGATCCATTTGGGTACTTCCTATCACGAGGGCTAAAGAAATACCATTCCATATCTTTTCCAGGTAACAAGGACTTCCCTGTAACAATAAAAAAAAAGGCTTTAAATTGGTTATATATATATATATATATGTTGTTCTTAATTACCTACAAATTTGTTAGGTGATAAACCAAATGTACAAGGAAATTAAAAGGAATTGAAAATAGCAGAATAAGAGATATTGCAAAGTATATATATATTGCATGGGACTTGAATATAAATTTATAATATCTTGTTTACACTTTTTGATGACTTGGGAATCTACTGTTGTCTCATTAGTAATCTTGACGGTCACAATAGGAACCCTAAAGGTGTAGGGACCATCCTGTCTATAAACCTTAAGTACATGTCCTTTCCACCATATAAAGATCAACCAAAATCACATGAGATATTTTATTATAAAGCAGAAACAATACTTGACCAAGAAAGCAAGTATGTGTTTCATCATTACTGAATAAAGATCAGAAGTAAATCGCGTCTAAAGAAGTGCGTGCCCACTTTTTTAAAATACTTTTATTGGGTTCTATTAAGATTTACGAAATCATTAAGAAACACTGTTCTACCAATTAGTAAAATAAAATAAAATAAAATCTTGAGATATTTGGTTATAGAACTTCTTTAATTTCATTATCCGGTTACATATCAATTGAAATAATATTGAATTTTAAAGACAACTAATTTAAATACAGCCATGCAACCTTTCGTAAATTTTCAATATTAAATCACTCGCTAGAAAAAAATAAAATAAAAAAAATTAGTACGAGATACCCATGCATGACATAATGAAAAAAGTGTTGTGTATGTGTGTGAGCTTCTAATTACCTGGCAAGTCCCACGGTTCACACTTATAGAGATCAACTTCGGGTATGATCTCCAACTCAATCTTTCGGCCATTGATCTTCCTTTTGAGGTAATAAGCAACAAGTTCTTCATCGGTAGGGTGGAACCTGAAACCGGGTGGCAGTGAAACAGGTGCCATATATATGTGAACTGGCCTAACTTTGGACCTCCTTCTTCCTCTTATTTATCTGAACAAATTGGAAATACAAAATATATAGATATCAATGAGCAGCTTTCCAAGTATTGGTTACCAAATTATACAAATCAAACCCTTCCATGCATAAAAAAATCCGAACACAACCATATATTAGCAAATTAAAACAAACATAAATTTTTTGTTTATGCATATATACATGACAAGTATATCTAGTTATTACAAAGAGAGGAAGGGAAAAACCTTAATGAGGGAAGAAGAAGATCCAATAAAGGCAGATAGTGTGAGAAACAGAGATGAGAGGCAGAGAGGAGAGGAGAGGGGTGGAATGTGAGGTTTGCTTGGGGTTTTATTAAAGAAGACAAAAAGAGAAGATTGGGAAAGAAAAAAAAAAAGTTAGATGGGAGGCTGTGTCACCCCCTCTCTCTCTCTTTTTCTTTTTAAGTACTTTTTATTTGTTATCAAATGGATGGATTCCTGTTATCTTTGCTATCAAGCTTGAATTAATGCCTATTACTAATTAATATTATAAATGTTATAACTCTTCTCTTCTGAATGCACCCTTTTATCCTATGCTTCTTGCTTGTTCTTTCCTAGATTCTGGGCTCTTCCACGTGGCAACACGAGTAGCTGCATCTCCCCCTACCTATTATTCGATAGAAGAATCTAACTTTGACGTGAGGAAACTGCAGCAAACCAACTATATATATATGGCGGCTTTTCCTAACTGAATAAATGGTCCTTTCACATTTCTTTTCTTGCCATGATTATTAGTGACAACTTTGATTCCAAGGTTTCAAGCTTCATGGTTATTTTCATTCGAATCATAAAATATTGCCGATGAAAATTTTAATTTTATAAGTACAAGAACGCGTTCAATGTTGTTACGTATGTTTAAATATTCATAATGAGTATGTATTTCTATCAGAATACGCAGAATTTGTGATTATCTTTTTGGGAAAAAGTTGTGTGTTTTTAAAATACACAAGTGTATGTACTTTTAGAAGTTATAATTATGTACTAGGGATAGTACATAATTATAATATTAAAGTTGTATTTTTTTTTCTCTTCTCATAAGTTGTTTGCTGAAATGGAGAGTGAAAAAAAATACAACTTTAATATTATAATTATGTACTATTCATAATAAATAGTTATAATGGCTAAAAATACACGCCTCGATTCTTTAAATTGATACACATTAAACTCTTATCTCCTATGTAAACAAACTAATGCCACTTATATTTGAAATAATAAGTTAATAATGTTAGTGTTTGCTCTTTTATATTAGGAAAAAGTATTTATCCTTTTAAATGACACAACTTATATCTTTTTACTCTTACAGGAGATGAGACTCACATCTTTATTTTTTTTTTGTCAACTCTCTCTCCTCTTTTATCTATTTCTTTATCTTTCTTAAAATGACACAACTTTACATCTTTTAAAATAACACACATTTTTCTCTTTATATTAATATACAATAAGGACTATAATGATTATTACTGATTCTTATTTTCTGTAATTAAGATTACTGATATTTACAACAACAACAAAAATAATCCAACGGAAAATGGGAAAAAAAATGAAAAGATAAAGATCAAATTAACTAGGCTCATGTTAAGGACGGTCTACCGATCGATGGCACATGTACAGCTAACTAATACGTCCAAAGCGGGACCCATGTGGGGCCAGCTTTTGCCACGTGAACTAATTAAGTTATCCACGTGGCATGGCAGGATCACTTGTAAGTTATCTGATGCTTTTCCCATCGATGCCATAGCCCATAGGCCCATACCCCTCTCTGTCCCTATCTCTCTTGCTTTCCCTTTCATGAATCCATCTTTTGGTGCTTTTCTCCTTTATGAGTTTATGCTTCTTTTGCTTTTTCTTCCTAGTCTCCTCATCCAATGTTCAACATGTTGCTTTTGATTTGATTTGATTTTTCCTCTCTCTACGTATATTATAACAAAAAAAATCTGAAATTCAATCACTAATTAGTATAAAAGGAAAAACGCTTCTATAAAAGAAAAAATATTTATCATTTTAAATAAGGGTTTGGTGTTTGTCATTTTAAATGACATAAGTTATGTCATTTAGGAGAAAGATAGACACAGAAAAACAAAAATCATGAGAGAGAGAAAGTGAGTGATTTTTTTTAATTTAAAATTTAAATTTTCGGTGTCTGTATCTCTCTTAAAATGACATAACTTTCTGTCATTTAAAATGACAAACACTTTTCCCTTTAAATAATATAATTTGTGTCATTTCAAATGATATAACTTATGTCATTTCGCTCTCATAAGGAGGTAGGACCCACATCTTTACTTTTTTTGTCCACTTCCTATCTCCCATGATCTATCTCTTTTTATTTATTTAAAATAATATAATTTTACATCATTTAAAATAACACGTATTTTTTTTTTTTAGTATAAAACATAGAAGTGAGCTTTGCCATATCAAGCCACACACACCTTTCATGCATTTTGTATCACCATGCCCCATTAAAAACGACTATCTATTTAAAAAAAAAAAAAAAAAACGACTATCTATGCTTACCGAAAAAAAAAAAACGACTATCTCTTGAAAAATGTGCTGAGCACTCAATTAATGGACCTCTTATGAATATATACTTTGTTATGGACGAATTTAATTTTAAAAAGTATGGCGTTTCCATAATACTATGAGCATTTGGGGTTCCTATACCGCAATTTCGGACGCCAAAAATCATATAACTCGTAACCCATGCAATGCAAAGCACACTTAAACCAATTTTCAGCGTCGCCTAAATATATTAAATTATATAATAGTCTTATTAGAGACTTAATCAAAGTCTCAAAGACTATATATAATATAATATAATGAAAGTTCTAAACTACTTGATTTCATATCCAATTTGAGAAGTACAAAAGTGTAACAAATATAAACAGATTGAAATTTATCTGGAAAAGTAGGCAATCACTAATAGTTTATAGGTTATATTTATCTTATGTTGTAGGAAAATAATTGTCTTGTAGAAATAGAATTACAAATGGGACCCACATGTAAAAGGAGAGAGGAAAAATAGATGTGAGACCTACTTCTATTTTATATGCGTAAGAAACTTATTTATCACATACAACCTAAGATAAGTATAACCATAATTTATATATGTGATAACAAAAAGGAAGTCGGTGTATTCTCCCACAATGAGAAAGCAATACCAATTTGAACGCACGTCGTATATTGCTTGATTAGATTGTTTGGCTTCTTTTTTGTTGTATTCTTATATTCTCAATGATTAATATTATATTTACTTCCATATTATTTAATTTTTTAAATAACGTATGCATTTATGTAAAGTATATTGTAGCCGAAAGGAAACTCATTATGCACATCTTTTTCAGTTTTGAGTTCTGAAACTCTAAATGCTCAAAAATACCTAAGCATACCGAGGGCCCCAAATGGATCAAAGGCTTTTTGACCTATTTCATTCTTAAATTAAAATGTTTGACCTATCTAATCTTATGGTCAAACTATTTGCCATCCTAATGCAGGGCAACACAGTGTGTCAGCTACCGATTTGGGATGCAGCAGAAAAATCAACGTTTATCAAAATGTCATCATGAATAACGTGTTTAGTTTGCAAAGAATACGTTAGTAATAGTAACGTTTTCATTCTCCTCAAAACGCCAGAAGACGTATCGTGTTGGATGATGTCAAATTTGTGTGCTTTTTTCCTTCTGAAAACGTCACAGCAGGTGCCGTTTCTATTGGATTTGACAACAAGAAAACGAGACTTTTGAAGACGTCTCTTAAAACGGTAGGCACAACACCGTTTTCCAAACAAGACAAGGCCGTCCCCATACATCTGAACGCGGTAGTCATTGCACCATTTATAGTAAACGGTAGCTTGCCCAGCGTGTTCCAAGTAGGACATTAAGTCTCTCCACTGACACCTGAACGCGTCAGTCAGTGCACCACTTTCAGTAAACTATAGCTCACCCAGCGTTTTGTGTAGAGGACAAGCCCTTCCACGGATATCTGAAACTGGTACCTGGCATAACGTGTTTGTGATCAGATTCCCTTTCCACACAAGACAACGCACATTTCGCAACCGTACTTTTTTTTTTGTAAAATTTTATGGCTTTTCTGTAGCTATATATATACTCGTATTGTTTAGTTAATGTCACTTGTGCTTCTCTCCCTTGTGCTCCTCTTCCTTGTGCTCCTCTCTCACATATAATTGGCTAGGGTGTTGTCATGTGGTTTAGTGTCATAACATGTTGAATTATTTTTGTTTTCAGAGTATCCTACTCTTCTTCTTATAATTTTACATCGTGTTTTTTGTTCGTTAATTTGTTTTATCCGTGTCATTATTTTATTTCATCCCCTTTTACAAATTTTGTTTACCAAATTGCAAAAAAAAAAAAAAAAGTGTTCAAATTTACAAACGGTTCGTGCACTTGTCTACTATAATGGTAGAAAGGTAATGGGTCGTCGTGGTGTAACCTTTGAAGGTGAAAAAAGAACAATGCGAATTACACGTGGTACTAGCTTTGAGCAGTTAAAGACAAACATTCATCAGAAGGACATCCGTAGATAGCTTCCATCCAGCTCATGTCCTTGCGGCCTAAACCCCAACATTTCATGTATAACCTGTGACCAGTCAGCACACGTTGCTCCAATCAGTGCTTGTCCAACTGAAGACAAACCAAGAATTGCTGCAACATCCTCTAGTGTTATGGTCACTTCGCCCTGCGGCATGTGGAATGTATGAGTTTTCGGACGCCAACGCTCAATTAGTGCACTGATAAGTGCATGATCAATCTGCAATACGTTAACCCATTAACCATACTCATAAACCTATGAATAAATTAAAGGCGTTTTACAGTGTCACCATTTAATTACTAACCGGCAAATGCTACATGCGTGCTACATGGTAAAAAACCGCACGTCTAAGGTGATCAGCCACGGGGTCTGGAATATTATATGAATCATGATGATCAGCTTCAGCACCTTGTGTTGCTCTACGGATCTTTAGGGTTCTCATCAGTCTTGTGTTCCATACAACCTGAGAGACATGAGTTTCTTGAACATCCATGCTCAACACACTATACTCTTCGGGGCCAAGATTAATCATGTCACGATCCATGATGAACCTATGTTACACAAATATAATAAGTTTGGCAACAATAAGTTGAACAGAAACACGTCACTGCACCTGCCGTTTTCCAGTTGCGTTGTCACTTCGCCTGACAAATTCCAGGGACGCGGCTGGTTCATTACCGTTTCCAATATACTGCAAAACGTTTGCAGGTCTGCCGTGTTAAAGTAATCAGGAACAAGTTTGCTTCTCTGCCGTTTCCTGTCAATTGAGATGATAATTCAACTGACGTTTTCTTTGCAAACTGAAAACGTTATTCGTGATGACGTTTTTAAAAATGTTGATTTTTCTGCCGCGTCCCAAAATGGTTGCTGACACACCGCGTCGCCATGCATTAGAATGGCGAATAGTTTGACCATAAGCTTAGATAGGTCAAACATTTTAATTTTAGAATCAAATAGGTCAAAAAAAGCTTCGGTGCAAAATAACGTAAAAGTATAATAATTGAATATTTGACCCAAAATGGTAACAATACATTTTGTTTTTTCTTTTAAATTTATTTTTATTATTTGGTGAAAGATTGAATTGATAACAGAACTAATTGTTACGGGATAAGAAAAGCAGGGTGATGTTTCGTTAAATGTGAAGTTGACCAATGTAAAATAATGATAAAGAGATGCAATAGTATGAACTATAATATTCAATGGAGGTCAAGTGGAGGTTTTAGTTGAGTTGAGAATCAGAGAGAGATAATGGCTATGTAGGGGGATTTATGTATAAAAAAGCAAAGGTTGAGAAGACGATGAACAGTGATCAAAGTGTTATTTTTTGACAAATTTTTTATCTAAATGTCACACGAACAGTATTTTTTACCAGACTGTCACGTGTCATAATTCGCTACCACTGGTAGCGAGTTTCGTAACTAATGATTTTGTGACACGTGGCCATATTGCAGACCAAATTCGCTATCACTGATAGCGAATTATGACACGTCAGCTTTTTCCTGCGAAAATGTGCCACGTGTCATAAAATCATTGGCGAACGTAATTCGCTACTAGAAGTAGCAAATTACGCCCACATAACAGTCTAATAAAAAATACTGTTAGTGTTGCATTTGGATAAAAAAAAATTCAAGACATTTTGATCACTGTTTCAGACCCCTCAATAAAGGAGTGGGGGTATTAATAGTGTAATAGAAAATTCTCATGTATAGAAATTATGAGGCTATAACAATTTTCAATACTGCGGGCTCCACTGATGTGTGTGGCTGAATGAATCCTCATATAAAGCTGGTTATGTACAAGTTATGAGTGTATAAGAATGAGAAAAAATCAAATATAAATGGACTTTTCATCTTTTGATAAGTAGCAGGCTGGGCCTACTGGGTGGCCCAAAAAAGAAAACCACGCACGCAGTCGACCGGTCTACAATAATAAGCTTGATTTACTTTCTATCATGGAGACAATATATGTCTTCACTCAATAAAAAAAAATGAAATAAAAGAGTGTCATATAGAATATTATTAACATTTCTAATAAATTGTTTTTGTGAGGTATAAGAAAATTTTAGGAAGAGTAAATCTATAACCTAATTTAAGCTGCTGGGAAAGATATTCCATAACAAATTTTTTTTTAGTCTTGTCTCAAAATCTTTGGAAGAATAAGTGCTTCTTTTCTACGGCTCTTTCAGTTATTACCATTTAAAACAAGTCGAAATATTATTGAAATAAATTAAAAAAAAATTAAATATATTCATTAGCATGCCGTTCAAAGAAAGCAAGATTAAATTGAAGTTCCACTTTTAAAAAATTCATTTTGCGGACTAACTTTTATTATTTTTTTGGATTACAATGGAAATCACACACACACACACACACAGCTAATGAATATATTTAATTTTTTTTTAATTTATTTCAATAATATTTCGACTTGTTTTAAATGGTAATAACTGAAAGAGCCGTAGAAAAGAAGCACTTATTCTTCCAAAGATTTTGAGACAAGACTAAAAAAAAATTTGTTATGGAATATCTTTCCCAGCAGCTTAAATTAGGTTATAGATTACACTGACCCACCTCGGCCCGCCATCAATCCGTCAAAAAATGAATCTGCCCCGCTCCATTTGGCGGGTTGGCCCGCCGAGCTCGTTTTGCCAGCTCGACACACCCCACACCACTAGGCTAACCCTAGTGGTTTGCGAACTATCTTTTATACCACCTCTATTTTTTAAAATTTTGATGTGATAATGTTTTGAAAGTTCAATAATCCGAAAAAATATAGTAGAGTCAACGACATTTTGTCAAAAAAAAAAAACATAATAATGTTGGCTACGTATTGATTATTGAATATGTGAATCATCCTTACCACTTAATTCCATCTAACTATTATTTTAAATTTCTATCAAATTGTTAACTATTTTTTCTCATTGAGTAACACTACCATAATCCATTATATCATCTATATACAGAATACTCTTCTTGCTAAAGAGTATACTGGATATCCATATCCTAACTACCTATCCAAAAATTTCTTAAAGGATAAAAACTGAATTATCTTAACAGTATGAAACAATAAAGTTACTGAAGATAGAATCTCTATCCTTACAAAAAAGGAGTTGAATCCTACTCCAACTGGGAGATCTACACAGCCCAAGAGGTAACCCCTATAAATACAAGGCTTAAGATCTCAGGTACACACTTTTTGACTCATTTTTTTATTTCTGTCAACACTATCTACACATTCACGTCTTGGCTATAAGCCTGTTGCTTGTGTGCAGCGATTGGAGTATTGGCTATAAGCCAATCTGGATATCTTTAAGCGCATACCATTCAATATAGAATTATTGTTCTCTAAGACCGAACAGTACCCAAGTGTTTGAGTATGTCTCTAATACTTCCTGTGCTTTTAAATTTGTCATTTAAATTTATTGTGATTACAAAAATATATTATTTAACCCCTTGTGATCTTTTACATACACACACATGCAAGAATATATCGTAAAAATGGTCTTATATTTTTATCGTAAAAATAAATTTAAGTCAAATATTCTATTATTTTATTTATTTATTTTATTTGATATTGTTATAATATCAAATAAAATATATCATTTAGACTTGATGGTGTTATAAATATAATTTTTTTAAATTTTATTTTATATAATTATGATATTATCAAATAAAATTTTAATGAAATTAATTATTAATAATTAAATTAAAAAAAATTATTTATTTTAAAATTATTCACCATGTTATTGATCTTAAGGAGATTCTTTCTCATTTATCAAAAAAAAAAAAGGAGATTCTTTCTTTCTCTCTCTCTCATTTTTGGCTTCACTTGGATACTTTAATTTTTGGGAGTCGATCGGGTTTCGGAGATGCCTGCTGCATCTGGATGTTAAATTTCAGCCCAAATATCATAAGCCCACATTCGCTCTTAGTTGGTTTGTCTCGTGACCATGTGGCCTAGGCCCTAGAGTTTGAAAGATCTGCACCCATTGGAACTACATCAAACAGACTAAAATATATATCTTCCTCACATAAATGGTTGATTTTTAATAACTTACCATGAATAATCATGACCCTAAGAAAGTAACAAAATGAAAAGAAAAAACCACATATTATAAAATTCAAATGCTAAACGATGGTTGATTTTTTAGCATAACCATTGCAGTTGAAAAGCAATAGATCTAGAAATCCAGAGGTGATATTATTTCCTCTTTTCTCTTATTCTGATTTCTATCCCTCTGGAGAGTGAAAACTGAAAAACCAAAGCAGCAAGTTCTAATACAAGATAGAAACAAGAACCATTCACTCCTTTGAGACATATCAGGTATGGTTAACTTAATTCATTAATCAAGTCCTGACATCTTCCTGAAATGAAGGACAAACTGGTGAACCTTTTCTGGGTCTGGAAGAACTTTGTGAACAGATTGCCTTTGCAAGCAGCATCTCTTAATCCAAGCTGAGATTTTTGGGGAATGGTCTTCAACTCTGAAACCTCCAAGCCTCTCATATGCCAAAAACCAAGCAGAATGAGGAATGGCAATGATGTCTACATATCCAAAGGCATCACCACCAAAGTAGTCCTTCTCCCCAAGAGCTTCCTCTAGATGCTTTAAAACTTCAATGAAATCCCTCGTTGCCACTTCTCGTTCTTCTCCATTGCTCGCCCAGATACTCCTGCCCGTTTCAAATACCTTCCAAGTACGCAAGTAACCATCCAAAATCATATATGCATGCATACATCTATATATCATTTTAGCCTCTAACTAGGGGTACAGATTTGGATACTAAAAATATTTATTTTTGTTTCTTTGATTATAGGTAAGGGTATAACTTTTGTGCCATATCAATCTCTTGTAAACCAAGATAACTAAGGATGACAATTTTATACATCAAAACAATCATAGGATTTAGATTGTCTAATGTGTAGGATGCATTGTTTTAAAGAGTAAATCTTGTTGCTAATGAATCCTGGAAAAATCAATTTTACAAAATATAAGCAATATATATATATAACAAATGATATACGTGAGAAATTTCCTCAAATTTCTTATGAACTGTTATTTACTATCTAACTTATACTTCAAAGGAACCAGATCCATAAAGCACATTGAATAAAGATATTGAGCATTAATTAATTTCAACACAAACTAGGGTAAGGGCCTAAGGGGGTCTCAAAACTTCTTTAGCTTTGAAAGAAAAGTACTTGGTGCAAAAATATGAGAAAACAAATTTTGGTATAGGGTAGGTTTTAGACAATAAGAATGATGCAACCCACCTTTTTGTCAATGAAGTCAGTCCAGAATCTGGCTTGGGCACGAGCATATGCACCAGTTGGAAGCAGTGGGTTGGAAAGCCAGAGCTCATCAATGTATGTAACGATGATAGCAGACTCTAGGACAGGTTTGTCGTTGTGCAAGAGCACAGGAACTTTCTGATGAATAGGATTTGACTTGAGCAGAAGCTCACTCTTACCCCCAAACAAATCCTCTTCCTTTTCTACATAGTGCACCCCTTTCTCTTCCAAAGCAATTTTCACTCTAGCACAAAATGGGCTAGCCCAAAAGTCCAAAACATTAACCTTGTCTCCCTTTGACATGTTATCTTTTTTGCTTATTATCCTTTCTATGATGACTACAAGATGTGAGAGAAGTTGAAATTTATAGGATAGTTTATTTAGATGAAATCTTCGAAATCTACGATGCCTAGTAGGCGTTCTTTGTTTCGTCCCTCACAATCTTGTAAGTGTCAATTTATGTGTTTTGGTTGAAGAGCCATAGAATGTGCTTCCACTGAAGTTTGATGCGGGATGGTGAAGGGCGTATTATTAAATGGCCGGCCAAAGGGTAAGTGTTCATCTATTTTTCTATTATTGACCATGAATCCAAAATGTAATTTATCCTCAACCTACAACTTATGTTTATTCTTTAGAGTTTTTAAGTGAAATAGAATTTGGTTAACATTTTATACAAGTTGCTGGTTTAATATTAAAATTTCTATGCATTACTTTATACTTCAACATAAATATTTAGTACTCCTGGAGCATATAATATTCGGTGGAGCGGAGGAGTGAGAAACAGAAAAAAAATTGATAAGAGAGGAAAGAGAAAAGATTAAGATTTTTTTAAGTCAAGTGTAAGTGTCAAAATTTTAATTAAAGGACCACGTTAGTCCTGGTGCACTATAAATTTTTTTTCGAAAAATGAATGATGACGGTGCAAAGAAAACGAGTCATCTGAGAATAATTCGTGTAGATAATTCAAAAATCATAAGCCAAACAGTGGCGACATTTCTAACATTTGCTATGGCTTGCCAAGAATATAAGACCAACCTCAAAAATCTGAGAAGCATTTTAAGCCAAACAGTAGTTTTTGTCTGCCCTAGTCACAAACTATCACATATGACATAAATTCCCACCATTCTAATTTCATTACTCTCTTTTTCTCTCTAAAATCAACAATCCAATCCCTTTCTTTTGTCGTGTAACTCTTGTATTAAATTAATATTTTTTATATTATAAAAAATAAAATTATCTCATATATATACATAAAAATATATAAAACCCTATTTTTTTCTCTCTTTTCTCTTCACATGACCTCACGAAAGTTTCACATATTTTTTTATATATATAAGAAATAAAATTATTTCCTATAATATGAGAAAGATTAATACCCTTAAACATTATGTGAGACTAGTTGGAGTTCCAACAAGCCGGATGGGAAACCAGGAAAAAAAAACTCTCTGAAACTAGTTTCCCCCCACTAATTAGCACTTCAAAAAATAGGCATGCTTCGCTTATTTACAGAACAATTGGACAAATAAAACCCAAATTATGCATAGACCAGTCTTCAACCAATTCAGTGACGGAAAGAAAGTTCAGAAGTGAAATATTGCCACCTTTTGCAGGGAAACACTGCATTGATTGGATTTAACAAAAAAAACATCTGCTAACATATTAATCACTTTGCAGTGGAAAATAGCCAACGAATTATGAAATGAATATAATATGAAACCGTTCTGTACATTTATGTACAAAAGAATTGCATCTTTTGAGGTTCTCGGTAAATATATGCCAAACAACTATTGCACAGCATTGGCCTCTGAAACTTTCAAGCAAACACACATATGAAGATAATACTCAGGATTCATTAAGTTGTTAACCACCCAAGAAAAAGGTATCTCCAAAATAGGTTCTATCCCTTGAATGCGTACAAACTTGATTTCAGCAATCTCAAATGGGTGAAAAGATGAACCGGGATCACATGGATTTTCTCCCTCTTCTGCACTTTGGTTGATGCCAGCATCTCCTCCATTACCAAAGGAACTTCCCGTAAAAAACTCAGGCAGTAGTCTTTTTACCGCATCATTTAAGCTGAAGTATTTACCTGCATGCAATAAATATAAGACACATATATGATATCAGTCAAATTGTAGGAAAATAAAGATGATGCTAACAATAAATAATAATTTCTATTAATTACAAGCAATTTAAGCAAAAAACTGGGGAGTAGCAAGAAAATATAAATGCAAAAAACGCCCTTCAATCTTTTAGCAAAAAATAAATAGTCCCACTGCATATATCAGGTAAAGAAAATCCCCAGACAAGAAACATTTAAGATCTACCAACTACTACAAACACAATCTTTTCTCACAGACAATGAGAACAGTCAGATAACGTAATTACGATTTACGATAAAAGTGTTGTAAATGGTGGTCACCATGGCTGCATGGCATGGCAGATTTTGGTGCTACCACCATGAAAACATCGAGGTATGGTGAGTTGCTCATGCCTCATGGTATACTTATATTCATCTAATTACTCTTAGTAGAATAATACTTATTGGATGCTTTCCAACAGAGTATGTCCTATATTCTTTTCTGATTCATATGATTACTCTTCAATTCAGTTTTCTGCTACACATCTCTCAATTTTTTATTTTATTTTTGCTCCTACCTAACTCTCATTTTTTTCTCCAAATCTGTATTCTAAAGTTTTTTTTTTCTCCTCAATTAATGGGGATACAGGAACTAGGCTGATCATCAGCTGTATGCTTTTTTATCCATTTTTAGTTCATTTATATTTGAGTTTGTGGCACAGTTGTCAACTTGTCCTTTATGGCGAGTTATTTTTCTCAAAAAAAAAAAAAAAAATTTGCTCCTGAATCTTGATATAAACTACTAGGTCTTATTTACTTTCTGTGTTTATTACAGTATTATTTTTTCTGACATGGCTGCCTTTCTTCCCCCATTGACCACCACTCCATCCTTCATAAAACTATGGCTTATTATTGGCCTGCAGCCATTGGCCACCATACCATTGACAACACAGATGACTATCCTCTCTACCTTATGCGACTTTCCATAAAAGAAAAAACGTTAGACAAACATGGAAGATAATCAATTTAAAGGTTCCAATGAAGGAATCTCTATGAGACATGACTCACCATCTTCCTTATGAATCTCAACAGGTCGATTGATATAAGAGACTTTGTCCCAATTATCAATTTGAGTAGCATCTTCAAAATCATCGAACTCCTCACTGACAGTCCAAGCATATAAACGAACAGGAATTCTACCTAAAAAATAGACAGTAGATTTTAACAAAAATTTTATTTCTTATGAATGGGAAAAAGGGCCTACATGGCACCAATTCTAGTCATCCAAATTGAAGTTCTATGCAAGAAGAGGAAAAAATCATTTATATGATGAGCAATGCATTTAAGATTTTAAACCCACAATTGAACCTTTTACAAATGACCCATAATAGAAAAACTTACCAACAGACAATAGTACAATATGAAGACGGGTAGAAGCTCGATAGTGAACAAGCCTAAATGCAATTATCTTAGGGACTAGAGTTTAACATTTGTCCTTTCAAAGAACACAACTTGTGTCCTTTTAATTTTTAACACTATTTAGTACGGGTAGTACATAGTTATAATATGAAAAATTATTTTTTCTCTCTCCACGTCAGCCGAAGTGACTGAGGAGAGAGAAAAAAAAGCAACTTTTCATATTATAACTATGTATTACCCGTAGTACATAGTGTTAAAAACTAAAATGACACAACTTGTGTCCTTTAAAAGGACAAACCTTTCTTCCATTATCTTAAGGTAAACATCTCAGAATTTTTAAGTCAACTAAATCTAAGACTGGGTTTTAGTCTAATAGTTTAAGGTCTTAAGACCTTAATGATTGCTTCTGTGGCCCCTTCTAAAAGTAAAATTGAATTAGTCCCGTCATCATTGTCAAACCTAAAAAAATCATAAAGCCCTACCTTCTGCGAAATGCCATAAAATCAATCCATGACTTTAAAACACCAATACTTACCTATAATTTACATACTGGTGAAAATTATATTTCACAAAAAGTTTGCAGAGAACCAACATCAGAAACTTATTGACAGTAATATGAATATATCCTTTGCCTTTTCTTTTCCCATTAAGTTTTCTATTCCGGTTTGACTTCATCCAGTTAATTGATCAGAGAAATGGAAGTGGTTTTAGATTTCAAAATGAGCTCATCCAGAAGGAGCCTCTCCCTATCAGGAGAGTAAGAAACTGAAAATAGGACTTACAAAAGTAAAGTGTGAAAAAAGCTAAACTTACTATACACTATATCTACAGAAGTGTAGTTGTCAAAAGTCTTCATATTTTCCTAGAGACAGGTCAACAAGATTATTGATTAACAAAAAAATTGTGCTAACAAACTGATACGACCATAGAGGAAAGAGTCATTTATGGGAGAAGATTCTAGGCTTCCAGCTGGTAAGGGAGTGGGGAATTGGAAGGAAATTCTGTTAGGTAGTGAGAATATTAAGAGGAAAAGGGTGGGGCAGAAAACGATAGGCATTTGGTGAATGGATTTGGGACACCTTGGGTGTATTGGGAGAAAGCTGGCTTCTCTGATTGTCAGTAGTTATTTTTTCTTCATTATACTGTTATACGATGTTGTAATCTGGGTTTTCTATAAAGAAACACTATTGATACAATTCTGTTGTATTCTTCTTAATTTCTAAAATCTCGGATACCTATCACGTACAAATTGAACTATTTTATGGTCCTCAATAGACACAGTTTAAAAAGCTTTAGAACAACATATAAAACAACAAATGCAAAATAACAAAAATTAAAATTTTCTGTTACATATATGAAACGACTGCCTGCCTTGTTTTTCTATTTAATTTTTACAGTGATATTTAAACTCATTGCATGGAACTAAGATAGAACTATTTCATCTAGTACGAACACATAAATATATGACAAACAATATCAAATTATGTTAACTTTGTTAATGCTTGTAGTTAAGATAAATTAAACATGAAGCATACGTACATGCTAGTTATCACCGAGAGGATAGTTATACATTAATACAATTTCAACGACAAATAGAAAATAATGATAGAAAAGAAATAACAATCAAGTAAAACAAATAGCTTCAGTAATAGCTCTCAGCCTCTATGCATAATCAGACACACCATACAAATATCCAAATATCCTTTTCAAAAGGGCTTGCTGAGAGGCTACAATTCACTCGGAATTGATTTAAGGTGCTTGTCAATGTTTGAGTGATCCTTAAGGAGGAAAGAGGCTTGTTTCCTGTGCTAGGAATTATGAATTTAAACCTGACAAGAATTATCTTTTTGGATAAAAGAAGAAAATATTATCGAAAAGGAGGCCGGGGGGGATAGTAAATGCTCCATAAAATAAAAGGGAAAAATATCAGCAAGCCAGATTGGCTCAAAATTTGTTCATATTGCTCACCAGTCTTCACTTGTCCAGCAACATCGGTATCCCCAGTACTTTGTTGAGATTTAGTTGAGACTGAATTGATATTTTCGGTATATTCATCTTCAAAAGTTCCAAGCTTAAGCTTAGATGACACCCGTCGATAAGATTCCAAATTACCTGCTATGCAAATGAGTGTTAACACAAGTCCAAGATAAGAGTGCACCAAACAAATTCTCCATAAATTCAATGGCAGATATATCCCTGGCATTTTCTGGACTTTGGTGTTGAATTATGAATCTTATGGTCAAATAGTGTTCAGTCAAATTTGTGATTGATTATAGATTGTGCAACATGTGCTTGTAAGTGTATGTATGTTAATTGTGTGAAATTGAATAATTTTTAGGCAAACACTTGTTTCTATTATGGAAAATGTCCTTGGGTGTCTCTCCTTAAGTCCCTTGAATAAAAAGCCAAACTTCTACATTTTTAATCTTTATTATTATTTGAGTGTCATCTTAAGGAATTTGAGTTTGGCCCGTTCGCAAATCAAGCCAAGCTTGACTAACTTCAACTTTGGCTATTCCCAAACAAACCAAGCTCAAGCTTTAAGGAATAAATTTGGGATAAATTTTACTAACCCCAGATTATATTCATGACCCCATCCTGATTCCTATATATTACAAAGCTTGGGTTGCCCCATCTCATTTACCACAACAAAACCAAGGGAATAAGTATGCATCCAGCCATCCAATAATAGGATAAGGCTATAAACAATAAGCAATGTTCCTTCATAATAGCTATTTATAGAATAAGCATGAAGCTGTTTCTCAAGTAACAAACTTTATGATAGAAATTTATCAACACCCTTGCTAGCATCATTTGACTCCACACCATAATAATTATAACCTTTCAATCAGCTACACCGGCAGACATACATGACTTATTGACTTTAAGTGCCATCATTGGGTACTCAGTACAGTCACTCCATTTTAGAAATAATTGCACTATATCTACTTCATTGAAAACAAGTAAAAATCCTATCCTCCTGCCACACCAACTGGATGCAGGCTTTTCACTTGTAGAATATGAAATTACTTAAGGGCGCCTCAAAGAAAAACACAATTAAATATTTACAAAGTACAAGCCTTAATATCAAGCAATTAGCAACATACCATTTAAAACAGAGTGCCAGAGTTCCACTTGATCAGGTTGAGACATGTTCATGACATTCTTGCAATTCCCATTTATTACATATGCAGCCTGCAGCAAAATAAAATTCGGTTAATGGCAGTGAAAATAAGAGCTTAGATCACGTAAAGGACTCAAGTGAGATCTGTTTAAGATTCACATAAGCAAATACTAGTAAACGCATATGTTGTAGCGCATGGACATCTTCAAAAAGTTGAACGGGTATGAGGCATCATGTTATTGATCAAACAAGTACCATCATAAACATGCACAAAAAGAAGAAATCACACAACTGACCTCTTTAAGTGAGTTAATAAAGCTCCACTTTACGCTGTCTTCGCCTTCACATGGAAGCAATAAATTACTTGGATATCCTCTAAAGTGTACCTATAAATCAGAGGGTACAGACATTGAATATAGCTTTGCATGTGCGAAGACAATTTTAGCAAGGGCCGTTAAAATATTAGTAGTAAATCAGTCTTAATTTTCACATTAGTTCCTTTTGAATTTGATTTCCCAGCCCCATGGCCAAACACAATTAAAGCATTTTCTTTATAATAGCTTAAAAAAAATTCAGAGAATCACAATATCAGGCAGATAGAGAGGAAGAGGGAAGAAATTAAAAATGTAGCCTCCATAGAATATAGAGCTATATTCATCACATATTTACATCATGGAACAAAGACTTTCATTTGAACATGTAATATCTAAAATATTAATGCTGGTTCATGGATAGATATCTAAATGAGCCAATTCTGAGAAAACAATATGAATAAGAAACAGCACAAACAAGATGAAACTTTAATAGAAAATTTCACCCCAAATTTCATTAAAGACTTCAGCTTAAAACGTCAATAAGGTGCTCAATCAAATTAACTAGAGAGGAAATCAAAATAAAAGTGGAAAGTTCTTACTGTTAAATTCCATGGCCTTTCTGGCTCCACGCATAAAAGATCAAAAAGAACTCCAGTTGGTATATACCTGTAAGGGTCATGAAAGTTAGTGTAACTAGAGAAATTGTTGTTCGTGCTGCTGAGGTGTTTCTTGTTACGAAAGCTAGTGTAATGTGACAATTGAAAAACAATGAAATGTTTCAAAAACTAGACTACTGAGTAAACCAGTGGAGAGGTTCAAGGGTAAATTGTTATTGGCATTGATGAAAGGTTACTATTCATTCTTGGATCTCTGATCCTAGGACAATGCCCTGTCTCTACACCAATCAAACAGAAATACAAGAAAATAAATAATAAAAAATTACACCATACCACTTGAGAGGCAGTCCTTTGTACTCAAACCAAATGGTGTCTACTCCAGGGGGAAGTGTACTGCTGAAGTGAGGTTTTATGAGAGAAACCAATAAAGGTAAGTAACCTATACGAGGGGCCAAGACCTGAAACCACAAAGAAATTGTAAACTAGCAATTAACCGTAGATATATCATGAAAAAGATCGATTTAAGTTCCAGTTAGAGCAATAACCTAATCAGCAATGAGATACCAACTCACAACTAAAGTAAGTATGAAACTTAAATTGTATTCTGACAATTAATAAGTATATACATAATGAAAATTGAATGGCGACCATATGAACAGCAGCTAGCACTACTAATTCAGCGAAAGGGAACAACTTCGAACATGAGACAAAAACCCTATATTTATAAACATATAAAAATATAAAGTTGACGTCGTATACTACACTACACTGTAGCATTAATTAACTAACAATGGAAGGAGAAAAGGCACAAAATTGATGATAGGAAAGGAAAGGAGGAATACAAGTGCGGGTGGAGGAGGAGGGAGAGTGGTGACTTCAGATTCATGGAGATGAATCTGTACAGGAATCGCCCCTTTCCATACGTACTTCTGCGCTTCACTCATCCCTTCCACTTCCACTTCCAGATCTCTCTCTCTCTCTCGCTGTGTGTGAAGTCCTTGATAAACTTCACCACTTCTCCAACCCTGGGCAAATCGCTTTCTTTGCTTCTTCTTCTTCTTTCTCTCTCTTCCCTTTTGTTTGGTGTTATTATTATATTTGGAATTAATCTTCCATCAATCATATGGAGATCCCCTTAATCAAATTTATTGGATGGATTAATTTCCATCAATCATAAAGGAGAACACCTTAGTCAAATATATAGAAGTTGAATTAATTAATTATTTATTTTATAATTTTTAATAATTTTATCTGAATTAATTGTGTGTATTTTTTGTAGTTTTTATTTTTTTTCTTTCAGTTGTTTTCTAAAATATTAACTCTTATTCTTGTGGTGGGCCCGTTTGGATGAGTTTTTAAAAAATGACTTTTTATGCATTAATTTTTTTTAAATAACTTTTTTAAAAGGTAAAATTATTTTACGTTTGGATATATGATTTGAAAATCACTTTTACATAAAAAAAAGTTATTTAGATCTTAAAATAAAAAAAGCACTTTTATTTATAAAAGTACAATAAAAGAGAGATAAAATAGCATGATCGTGGGATAAGGAGAGATAAAATAGATATGATAGGATAAAGTTAAAATTGTATTTTAAAAATTTATATTATTTTTTTTCTAAAAAAAATTTATATTATTTTTTAATTTCTGCTTTTTTCAAAAACAACCAACTACTGACTATAAAAAAACAGTTTTTTAACTTTTATTTTAAATTTTGATTTTTAAAAAATTTGTTATCCAAACATCTAAAAATATTCAAAAAAAAAATTATTTAAAAAAAAACAATTTTTTTAAGAATAAAAGCCCGTAAGCTGTGTTTAGCGTAATAATATATAAATAGAAAGATAGATAGTTATATAATAATATTTCTAAACATTTTTCTATTGTATACTTTTTTTTTAAGTTTTAAATATGATATGTTATGTTAATTTGATAAGCTAAATTTGATTAAAAGTTTTATCAAATACAAGCATGTCCATGTGATATCTATTTTTCAATTCAACAGTCTTTCACTTGCATTAAAAAAAAATTGGAAAATTTTATCATTTTAGTTTTTCAGATTGACTATTAATAGAAATGTTTAACAGTTAATAGATATCTTAAGTGTAAGTTTGAATGAATTGCTTATTGGTGAAAGGCACCTGCGACTCTCCTTAAAACAAAAAACAAAACAAAACAAAACAAACCCACCCACCCACCGCACCGCACCGCACCCCAGGCTGTGTTCAAAGGAATAAAAATCCACAAGGCTGATGCGAAGTGACGCACCACGCTGATAATCATTGGCACCGGTATTTTATTCCGATGATGTTGTGAGTAACCTATTCTTGCATCGATGCTCATCGTCACATTTTCCTTGTTCAATTGAACCTTGCTTCTGTGTTGTTATCATGTCCACATTAAAAAATTCACCTTCATTCACAATCCATTAATAAATTTCCCCACCAACTTTCACCCTGAACCATTTGTCCTGGGTGGAAAAAAGATTCGTTTTTTCTTCAGATCTCAGGTTTTTCACTTGGTTTTCCTTCACGGGTTGTTGTCCCTCCAGAAAAATTGTAACCCCATCAGGCTCAATAGCAATACCCTTTTCTCCGAAAACCCATCTTTTTGCGACCTTTTTTTTTTGGTTCTGGTGATTGAGAGAATCCATAGATAGATGTGAATTTCGAAGGGATCTGGGAATAGCAAGGGGCAATGTTAGGGGCGGTGCAGTTGGGGTTATTGGCGGCGTGTGTGGTGCTGTTTGTGCCAATGGGTATGGCGGGTTGGCACTTGAGCCGCAACAAGGTCCTCTTTTTTAGTGGCGCACTCTTCATTACTCTTGCAGTTGGTGTCCACCTCACTCCTTATTTCCCTTCAGTCTCTGATTTCGTCTCATCTGTTTCTTCTTCTTCTTCCTCTTCTGTTGATGACTTTGTTGTCAATGATCGCGATTCTTGTGTGTATTCGCTTCACGAAATTGACTGGGAGGTGAAACCCAGTAGGGTCTTTGACCCTTCTTTGAATAACAATTCTGTGAACTATGACAAGTCTTGGTCTTGGAGCAGATCGAGTTCTGTGGATTCTTGTGAGTTTCAGAGGCTGAAACGGCATGATGTTTCTGATTTGCTTAATGGGTCTTGGGTCATGGTGGCAGGGGATTCCCAAGCTCGAATCTTTGCGCTTTCATTGCTGAGTTTGGTTATGGAGTCGGAGCGTGTGGAATCAGTTAAAGGGTCTTTGTTTAAGAGGCATAGCAATTATCACGTTGTTTTTGATGAGATAGGGATGAAATTGGATTTTATATGGGCACCTTATACCTCCAATTTGACCAATTTGGTAATGGAGTTTAAGCAGAAACACATTTATCCAGATCTTTTGGTGATGGGTTCTGGTTTATGGGACATGCTGCATATCACGAATGCTTCGGATTATGGTGCCTTGTTACGATTGTTGAGGAATTCTGTAACATCACTGTTACCTATCACCCCAGAATTTGGCACAGATGGGCCTGTAACTGGTTCTGTATCGGTTAGATCTCCACACTTGTTTTGGCTAGGCATGCCAACTTTGATAAACTCCATGTTAAATACACAGGAGAAGAAGGATAAGATGACTGATCTAATGAGAGGTGAATATGAGAGAGAGCTCCAGAAAAGCAACATATTGCGGCAGTTTGGTGGCCCACTTCAACTATTGGATATAGGGTCACTGAGTTGGAATTGTGGGATCAAATGTACAGATGATGGGATGCATTATGATGGAGTTGTTTATGAAGCTGGGGTTCATATTATGTTAAATGCATTGCTTATTGAATCTCATCAGAAGCTCTGATTCTCTGAAGTTTGTAGCATTCATTCCCTCTTAGATGTTCTCAGCTCCCTCTTTCAGAGATATATACGGTAGGATACTTTGACGATTTTGATTAATATAAGTTGAGTTCTTCCATCATAGGTTGCTAAATTTTGCCTGGTTTCTCCAGGCAAAAAGATTCAATTAGTTTTAGAGTGATTGTTATACCAAATCAAATTTGAAAATTCTTTTTGGTTTTTCTTCTTTTTTCTTGTTCAATTGTATGCTCCATTGTATGCTAACAGCTCATCTATTAGTCACAGAAGTTGGAAATTCAAATTTCTGTACAAACAATTCATACATGCTCTTAACCACAATTTGATTGGGATTCGTTTGTAATTTCTTAATATGAATATCCTTTAGGCTAACTAGAATGTAGTTGCATGTTGATGCATGATAATTTCTGTTTGTTACTCTCTTTTTCTGGCTCATTTTTGTGAGATGTGTTATTATGGAACAGATTAATTAATTGTTGAGATCAAACCATAAATTATTGTTTGCTTTCTTCATGGATTAATATAATAATAGGAGGCTGTTTCATATTTTTCTTTTTGACAAATAAATTTTTTGTTGACATGAATAGAACACCTCTCGATGTTTCGGGTAGTAGCTTGATGATAATGAAGCATCATTCTAATATATGTAATAAGTTTGAATTACTTTACCCCTTTTGCTGAGTGTATATTTATGAACTGGGGAATTATTTGTTAGAATTCTAAAAACATGATCATTCATTTGTTTGTTAAGGTATCATACTTCAAATGTGGTTTTGCTTTTTGAAGTATGTCTGAACGAAACAAACCTTGATTGGTTAGATTTGGATCTCAATCCGATAATTGTTTAAGATGCTCTAAGAAATAATTAACGCCGAATGCAAATTGAACATTTAATATAAATTGGATGAAGCAAGTGCTTTGAGATTAACGACCCCAATTATTGCATTCGGCTGTTGTGTAGCAGATTGGGAAAGAGATTAACTACCAGCAAAAAAACTAAGCGTTGAGGACATGGAGATAGCAAGTACTAAAAATTATCCAAAATTTATACTAGGATTCTGATTTTTGCTTCTGTGGAAACATATCTTATGTACTACTGATTGTATGATATAATGTGATGGGTTATCTAACAATCGTTAATGAGGTTGGATGATGTAGTAATATTTAAGACACCAGGAGGAATGTAGGATGACACGTCCTAACAAGAGCCTCACAGCACTTACATGGTTAAGTATTCTTGGTGTTGACCAACAAGGTATATTTTCATACAACAACCTCCTACATATAATAAATGTAAAGGTACAGCGTCACATTGACAATCTTACAAACCACCAAATCATTTGCTATCTACACAATCTTCTACAAAACCAAAAGAATTAAAATATAAAAGAAAACTACCATTAAGTAGGCATTCTATCACTATAGGGGTAACAATAATTTTGGAATTTGGATGGAATGGAGAATGGTCCCTCGAAACAAGTTTTCTTCATTATGCTTTTAAGTCTCAAATTGCTTGCCTTCAAAGGTTTGTCCAAAGCTCCAATCCTTAGGAGCAACATTGTAAGATGTAACTGTTTTGCCATCACTACCAGTAACCTCGAATGAAAGAGGTTGATTCTGTAGTAACGCATTTACATGCCAGTTTTGGCCCCAATTCCGACCCATTGAAAGCCAACCAGTTCTTGAGCCCTTAACCTTCACCCCTGCTATGTCTCCGTGGCCAGCAACATTGGTGATCAGCACCGAAATGAAGATACCAGAACCAGTGATTGTAAATCGGATTCCTCCTTCCTTTCTGCACTTTATCCTGCTCCAAACAGAACGTAATTTACAAGTAAAATCTGTTCATTTTTTCCTTCCAGAAGTAAATAATAGAATTAGGACTTTTATGGAAGTATTTACCTTGACTTACAAGCTCCTTCATTAGCTACTTGAACTAAAACACATGCATTCTACTATTTCATGTAGTTATTAACAAAATCATATACGGTTCCCTTCCCTTTATCTACAAGAACTGACCACATAGATCTTTTAGCAATAAGGTGATATACAGACATAGCAGTCCCAATTGCACTTTATGTACCCAAAACTGTCCGGAAAGGTGTAGCACTCCATTCTAATTATGTGCCAGCTTGCTTCATATTCATAATTGAGGAAAAAAGAAGATTTTATCGTTAAGTTCTTGGGACAAAAATACACTAACATTCTCTTAATTTTCTCTTAGTTCAATCAAGTCACTTCCATCCCTTTACTACTTAAATTTCCATCAGCATTAGAAAAGCCAACGTTTTTCAGAATTATTTTTTTTTACAATTTAAGCTCTTGAGACGTGGAAAGAGAAAGAGGTATGAATTGGATTAGGCATCCAAAACTCTTATGAAACCAGCTAAAAGCCTAAAATGTCTAATGAAAGCTCTTACTGGCACCTCATGAATCCTCTTTACAGGAGAATTAGTATTCAAGATTTCAAATCTGTAGCTTAATGAAACTATGGTGGATACCCCGTAACAGATCCCCTTCTTCTTTTTTTCTTTCTCTATCTGCACTTACTTCAAACTGAGAACTAAAAGTGTACAACATTATTGACACCGACCCCAATCTAAACAAGGACATTCTTGTGTAGTGTCGGTCATATATATATATATATATATATATATATATATATATATATTAGTCTCTAAGTCTAAAATTAGAATTTACCACACAAGTTATTAAAATATATATTTCGTTAGTTTCAAAGACAAAGACTAATCTAACTTAAGAGAATACAAAATTTGAAGGGAATGAGAAATGATGATAAGAGTGAGTTGAGTTGAGTTGAGTACCTGCGATACTGGACGGGCATGTTACCAGCCTTCCAGATTGCGATCTTCTCGAAGGCATCGATTGGGAGAACGAAGTGCTTGTTCGGAGGGTTACAGTGTCCACCTCCCTCCGAAGTGAACCCGTAGTTGGGAGCGCAGAAGTTGGTGGCGGTCACTATGATGGACGTGCCGGGTATGCACCACCGGTTGTCCTCCACGCACCGCAGCTCGAAGCACGCGCCGCAGATCTGGCCCCGCTCGAACAGCGCCTCACTCAGACCCACCGTCGCCATCCCGTAACCCGCCTTCAACAGGTCGCCGTAGCCGCACGCGCCTCCCACCGAGTCACGGGGATCCGCCGCCGCGTAGTAAGTGGCGTGCGCAGATCGCCATTCGAAGAGGGAGGACGAAGAAGAAGAAGATGGAGGTTGAGAAGTATAGGAGGAGTAGTGAGAGGTGACTGTTGAAAAGAGTGTGAAGAGAATGCTTACTATTAACACAGTAAGTGACATTTCCCAGTGAAAAACAAGAACAACAACAAGAAGAAGAAACAAACAAAGAAAGCAAATAGTTTTATTATTTATTACGACGAACAGAAAACGATGGATGCTTTATGGTAATGTGCAACCGACGAGTGACTATGTTCATGTGTGATCTGATCACTAATTTCAAATGGGACCACTTTTCTTTTTTCTCTTATAAAGTTTTATGGATTAATGATTAAATGTAACTGTTTCGATTTATAATTTTGAAAACACAAGCTTTCTATATCTGTATAGTGTATAACATTAATATAAAAAAATAAAATGAGAGTGATAGCTCATATTTGAAAACATTTGTAACTTTAGTTTATAATTGAGTGTCTATTACATGCAAAAAGTAAATTAAATTTGAGTGTCTATTAATTATAGGATGAACTTTATTATGGCTATTTGTTTAAGGCTTTAAGGCCTGTTTGGAGCAACTGATAAAGAAGATAGGATAGGATAACTTATCATATCCTGCTTTTATTTCTTGTTTGGTGGTCAATAGTTTATGATTAGCTTATCTTATTGTCTCATTTTATCCTATCCAATACATGATTTCTTATCCTATGAGGAAAAGCTGAGTTATGATTCAACAGGATAGGATACCAATATTGGATACCCAATATATCCCCACGTTACCCAATATATTTGTATTTATTTGAATTATATTTTATTTTTTTTTTCTCCTTTCTCCTTCTACATAATCTTATCAGATTGCTAATCAGTTGCTCATGACATGATATAGGCTTATTACCCTTATTAGCCTCATATCATATCCTACTCTTATCCTATCATGTCCACCAAACGAGCCTTTAATGTTTCTAAAATGAATGTAGATAAGTTATTTACATTTGCTCCCAAAACGATGTCGTTTTGGGTTGAAAAAATAAAAAATTATAATGAAAAAGACTATTATAACCTGAAATAAATTATAATTATAAAAATACCTTTATTTTGCCTAAAACAACATCGTTTTGGACTCACTATAGATAAATTATCTACCTTGACGGTAGAAAAAAACGAACCCTTTGTTTAAATAGTGAATGTGAGTAAAATTTCACATCAAAATTTAAAACAAAAATTATATTGCAGATTATCCGACGCTTTCTAAAAATCACTTTGGAATTATCCTTTTTGGGTCTAAAAAGATACCCTTATACCATCTATAACCCCTGTACTTAACTTAAAAGGGTCAAGGCCCATATTAGCGTTAGTTACAATCGTGAAGAAGTAGGACCCGTTACAGTATAAAATGATGCATAAAAACGTCCAACTAAGAGGTTTGTTGAGGAAAAATACATAACTATTTTAACAAAAAAAAATATCTATTGCTAAATTCACATAAAAGCTAATGTCAAATTATACGAGCTTAATTTTAATGTATCGTTACTGTTAAACAAATTATATTTTTACTCATTAATAAATCATTATATCATTCATTAAGTTTGATAACTCAAACATTAATAAATTTAATACATAATATAAAAATCAGATGATATTGTAATTTTTGTTTGCACAAAATATAAATTAAATTCAAATTAGATAATATTTTTGAGTTTGGTATTTGTCATTTTAAATGACATAAATTATGTCATTTTAGAAGAGATATAGACACAGAAAAATAAAAATCATAAGAGAGAGAAAGTGCGTGATTTTTTTTAATTTAAAATTTAAATAAAAAAAATTTGTGTGTATCTCTCTCTTAAAATAACATAACTTTATGTCATTTAAAATCACAAACATTTTTTCTCAATATTTTTCGTATACAAATTCGGTGCAATCATTCCTATAACACAATAAGAACATGATAAGAGGGGACAAGTCTTTAGCTAAGACACCTGAGTATTAAGACAGTAATAATTATGGAGATGATGATTTGATGAGTAATTTTCAGTCCTAATACTGCTTACGAATCTGATTTAATAATCCACTGTCAGAACTCAGAAGCCAATAGCAAGTGCATTTTGATGCCGACAATTCCTTACCGCCTAAAGTTAGGCGTGTACAAGACATTGGTCCCTCTAGAAGACTGTCTCAACTGTTGAAAAGAGTGAAGAGCCACGAATCTAAAATTGGATTAGTTAAATTTATTAGGATTTTAGACGTTAGTTAATATCTATAAAAAAAAAATATATATATATATATATATATATATATATATATATATTGTCAAGATAGAGCTGTCAAAATAAGTTGATCCGTCCCATTTGATCCTAACTCGTGTGGGTTAGAGTTAAAAATCTCGCAAGCCAAATGAATCTCAATAATCAACGCTCGTGTCTTATTTGTTAGAGTCGGCCCACATGTCATCCAAAATTATAATTTCATGATTTTTTTATCATATTCAATACATTAAAAAATATTTTAACAATTTTAACACTTTCTTAACATATTTATACAAATTATAAATTTTTTTAATAAAATAATATTTGTACACAAATATGTAAGTGAAAATGTAAACAAAATTTTAATATAATTGAAAATTTAGTTACTGCTCTTACTAAATTCATTATTAAATGACCATTAAATAAAGATTTTTTCACCGAGAGTCATAACAGAAAACAACAATTATAGTGAAAAACTAAAGTAATGATGGAAAAATTATCTTAATACCAGTATTGAATAAATGTTTTTAGTATGCTATATATTTGAAAGTAAAATCATTGATTTTCTTTAATTACTATGATTACAAAAAACTTTTTAGTTATTATTATCCACAAAATTACTAAAAAGCATTATATACAATATGTTTCAATACAAATTTGGATGTACAGGTTGATTCATCTACTACTGAAGTAACCACCGACGATGAGCTTGGTCTTGATAGTCTGGATCTTTACAATCTGATGTTCGCACGCTTGTTCCAAGACAGGTACAATCCAAATCGTCTTGGTGCTTGATGACGACGGTGTGGATGATTACACCTTTCAGTATATCATCTTGACAGGTATTTTTCGACGGAATGTGGATCCATTTGGTTATCCAAATGATGAATATACAACTTATCTTTGTTACCTTAGGGGGATGATACTCGGATACGTGTCCGAGAATAGCAAAGGGTAGGGTTGTGGTGTCTTTAGCTTTCTTTTCCATAGTTTTGATTTTCAAGTATGTTAACATTTGTTGAGTTTTGTCTTTTGCTTTTCCATATTATCAAGTGTCTGAACATTATGCGAATAATTTTTTTTTTAAATGCATCGTATAAGTATTCTCCATCAGCAACACGAAAAGGTAAGGAGAAAGAGGGTCTCCCTGCCTAATACCATGGGTAGTGGGAGTAAAATCTTTGGTTGAAGCTCCCTCCCACAGCACATTAAGGGAAGTGGTGGTTACGCAACTCATGACCAACTCCACTGCTGAAAGGCTGAGACCAGCTTCTACCAAAGTATCTCGAAGAAAACCCCAGTTGACTCTGTCATGCGCCTTCTCCAGCCCCCCCTTTATAGCCATTCAGCCTTTTTTACCTTTCTTGAGACGCATGATATTATCTGTACAATGCCTACCCTTGACAAAACTAGACTGGTTTGGCATAACGAGAGAATTCAGATGGGGTTCAGTCTATTAGCTAAAATCTTGGTCACCACTTTAAAAACCACATTGCAGAGACTAATAGGCCGCAACTGATTAACGGATTCTGGATTATCCATTTATGAAACCGCAAGCGAAGGGGAGCACAAAACTGCACGCGAAACCGCAAGCGAAGGGGAGCACAAAACTGCAAGCGAAACCGCAAGCGAAGGGAGCACGAAACTGCATGCGAAGGGGAACAGCTCGATTCATCTACTACTGAAGTAACCACCGACGATGAGCTTAGTCTTGATAGTCTGGATCTTTACAGTCTTATGTTCGCATGCTTGTTCCAAGACAGGTACAACCCAAATCATCTTGGTGCTACTGATGACTACAGTGTGGATGATTACACCTTTCAGTATATCATCTTGACAGGTATTTTTTGACAGAATATGGATCTATCTGGTTATCCGTATGATGAATGTACAACTGATCTTTGTTACCTTAGAAGGATGATACTCATATACATGTCCGAGAATAGCAGAGGGTAGGGTTGTGGTGTCTTTTCCATAGTTTTGATTTTCAAGTATGTTAACATTTGTTGAGTTTTGTCTTTTGCTTTTATATATTATCAAGTGTCTGAACGTTATGCGAATAATTTTTTTTAAATGCATCGCGTAAGTATTCTCCATCAGCAACACGAAAAGGTAAGGAGAAAAAGGGTCTCCCTGCCTAATACTATGGGCAGTAGGAGTAAAATCTTTGGTTGAAACTCCCTCCCAAAGCACATTAAGGGAAGTGATGGTTACGCAACTCATGACCAACTCCACTGCTGAATGGATGAGATCAGCTTCTACCAAATTATCTCGAAGAAAACCCCAGTTGACTCTGTCATGCGCCTTCTCCAAGTCCACTTTTATAGCCATCCAACCTTTTTTACATTTCTTGAGACGCATGGAATGCATGACCTCCTGAGCAATAATGATATTATCTATACAATGCCTACCCTTGACAAAACTAGACTGGTTTGGCATAATGAGAGAATTCAGATGGGGTTTTAGTCTATTAGCTAAAATCTTGGTCACCACTTTAAAAACCACATTGCAAAGACTAATAGGCCGCAACTGATTAACTGATTCTGAATTATCCATTTACAAGGACACTATTCATCATCTTCAACCTCAAGCAATATCCATGGAAGCAAGGTTTGAGAAGTGGAGACTTACCACACAAGGTCACACAACCAAGAAATATTGATCTCCAAAGCTCTCCTTGAAGGAAATACCACTAAACACCTCAAATCTTCAAGATTTTCGCCCCCCAAACAAGCCAAGGTCTTCACCCACAATGGTTCTCTACTAACAATGAGTGGTGGGTTTTGAAGAGGAAGGAATTTGATGTAAGTTTGTCCTTGGAATGGTATGATTTGGGTGAGAGATGGGTGAACTAGGATTTGCTTCTCCAATTTGGTCTTCTTCCCTCTCTTTCTCTGCTTGTCGACGGAAGGAGGAGGAATGAATGTGTTTTTCATTTGCTTTGGTCACTTAACATAGGTTAAGTGACTTTAACCAGGTATGAGTTCATCTATCTATTCAACTCTGTTCTCTTTCAAACTTTACCGGTTTGGAATATTTTTCCAGGAATATTTCCACTTTTATTTTTATATTTTGGGTACTTTTGCCTATACTCATTTTTATCCCATAATTTTCATTGAGTACACTTTTTACCTCAAAAGTGACCACAATTAATTTAATTAAGTATTTTACTTATTTTAATCCACTAATATATGCTTAATTACTTAATTACATGCAATTTACTAATTAATTAGGCTAGGACTATTATAAAATCCACACCAGTAGAAAATTCATTAAAATCGTCATATTTTTTAATACCACAAGATTATTTTTTCTTTGTTTAAAATCCTGATTGAATGAATTTAGACGAACTCTAAAATAATATTTTAAAATCCTAATCGAATACGACATGTTTTTTTTTTTAAATACTTTAAAATCTTAATTGAATATCAATGAATTTTTTTGTCCAAATTTTTTTTATTAAAATCCTTTTAAATCCCAATTCAATACTTCCCTTAATATTGTGAGCTGGATCCAAAGGAAAAAAACTAAAAAGGCTTAAAACAAAAGCATCGAATAATTTTGTTTTGTTTTGTTTTCTGTCTGTTTTTGTTTTGTTGTTTTATTTTGTTTCTTGTGTTAGTTTTGTTTGTTATGTACCAAAAAAAAAAAAAAAAAAGCATCGAATAATTCACAGTTGAAGGTGGGAGAAAGAATTTGAAGAAATACAAAAGCCTACTACCGAATACGGTGTTTTTTAACAAAAGAAAAGTCTTGAAGCTTATATGCGGGAAAAGGTAGGCTTGTGGATTTGAACAGCTGGAGAATTTGCAATACAGTAGAAATGTCAAAACTTTCAGCTCCTTTTTTTTTCCTTCACATACATGTTCATCAAGCAACAGAAACATCTATAGTATATCTGTAAAAGGGTTTACATTTATCATTTCACATGATACAAAAAAAATTTCTACACACACAACATTTTGTGAGGCCCACACTTTTTGAAGTAAAAATAAAAATAAAAACGACACGTAAAACAAATCTCTATAACATTACAATCACTTTTCCTACAAAATAACTCTTATAAAACCATATGTAAAAGCGAAAGTGCTTCAAAGAAAAGCCCAATTGGAGGAACTATAAGGAAAGCCTGATACGTTGCTCTTCCCTTTCCCCATCTGTTACTCGTGAGTACTGGTTTTCTCTTTCTGCAATGCACCTTTTATATGGTACAAACCCCTTCCCACAGGTTTTATGTCTCACCCTTAGCTCAGATATTCTTGATGTTTCACTTGGTGTGGTGTGGCCAAGAAGGTAAAACTGTCCACCCCCTCTATATTTAAAGCAATGCGCATGACTTTTGGCTTGATCATCTGATTTTTCATTGTTCTCTCCATCATTAACCGAACTAGTGTTTGAACCAGTCCAAGATCCTTCTTTTTGAATTTCTTTATCCTCAAAATCCCCAAGAATATGACATTGATGTTTCCCCTCAGGCTCCTTGTGCAGTGGCATGAATGGAGTATTGTGGGAACGAGACCACCAAGGAACAAAAGTTGCAGGACCTTCTGCAATATCTGAACTTCCACTCTGAAGTTGCATATGGTAAATGGCAGGTATTGGTTTGCATGCCTCCTCCGTTGTTGGAGAAGATGGTCTACAGGTATCGGTTACCAGCAGAGTTGTTCCAAACAATTTGAGAGTACGACCAGATGATTCTTCCGCTGCATCGTCTTTGGTAGAAACATCTTCTTTGCGGAAAAGTTCGAGTTTCTAGACATTTAGGTAACAAAAATTAGAATACAAAATCATATATCATTTTCTTAAAACTATTTTTGTGGTGATATTGTAATCAAGAAAATGAAATGGATTAGGATTTAAGATGTACCATGAATGGTTGCTCATCATGAGTTGAACCAGAATATAGAGCATCCGGTGGTGGAGATCCATCTTCCTCAAATGATGTTTTGGGCTCAGCAAGTGGAAAGCTACTGGTATGGACACCACTAATGGATGAGACCGGGGACAAACTTCCTGTTGGTGTATCTGAATCAGAGGAACCAAGGGTGTCTGAAAACACTGATTTGGGAGAATTGTTTTCTTGACCAAAATCTGATGACTTGGGAGATTTAGACCTCAATTGCTGTTCTAAGTTGGAAATTTCGGTATTCCGGGTCTCCACTAGTTTACGTGGATAAGGATGAATTGGCTTTCGTTTTGGTCGTGGAGGAGGAATTTCAACTGATTCGGCCAAGGTTGTACTGTTCCCACTAGAGTCTCGAAGAACCTGAAATGAAGTTAAAACAAAGGAGTTAGAGTGAAATTAAGATGAAACCTTCAACCTCAAGGAAGTTTGCACTTTGCATCTCCTAGGGTCACCACAATTTTAACTCAATATATGGCTTATGGTATATTCAAGATATGGTAAATGGTGGGGACTGGAATAGAGCAATAGACCTTAGAAAAAAACTTCTGAGCATGACTTCGAATCTGAACAGCAGTCTTCGTGCCAACATGTTCTGTGGTGAAAATAAAGGATCCAAAAACTTAGACCATACTTCTTGATTTACTAATTTACATTCTTTTACCACAATATTTATGGCATAGTTGCGTACGATATGGAAATCCTAAATTAATAATACCTTCAATTCGTCGCCAGGCCCGGCCATGCAGCTTCAAAGCTTCAAGGAACTTGTGATGTTCTTCATCAGTCCATCTGTCTCTCTGCTTGGTGATAGTATACGGTTTCCTTACCTATTGAAGTAGATAGAAAATTTATTAATACAGAGGTGACACTGACACAGATGTGAAAATCAATGTTTATAAAATGCCACAAACACATAAGAATCCCGTAAGAACCTTAAGGGAATAGTCATTTCCGCAAGAAAATTGATCACTTAGTTGAATACGTGCAACAGAATGCACTCCAGAATTCAAAGTTACTCCATTCCCAACTTGAAGACTGCCTTGTGATCTAGTAACTCCATTTTGAGCCTGCATCCAATCCAAATAGCTAATAAATATAATGCAATAATCAAGGAGAAAATGAAAATTTTCTTATAATAGAAAAGTCAAATAGACTTAAAATCACAACCAAAAAGGATTTATCCACCAACGAATCATTCATCTCTCGTGTGAATTATTCATTCCACAAGAAGACATACAGCAAATATCAATTAAAATGACCCCTAAGGTGTATTTTTTATTTTTTCAAGAGAAAAAAAAAGAAGGAAAATTACGCTAGTGATGAAGATAAGATCATTCGTAAGGCCTTACGTAGGCATCATGTTCTTGGCAAACTGTTAACTGAACCTGAAGCTTTCAAAAATTGCTTTTTCAAGAGTATGAATTTAACCCATTTATAAAATCTACGCATATTTGATATTTGAAAAAAAAAAAAAGTAAATCAAATCATAACCAATAGATTTACGTTTATATCTTTTTCATCTTTCTTTCTTTCTTTTTTTCCTTTCTTAAAATAGGACATAACATATCCTACCCAAAAGGAAATATTTTGCTGGAAATCAAAGCAAAAACCATAACATACACAAATAGAATCAAAACCAATAACAACTCAGGTCCCTCACAAAATTGAGTATAGCATCAAATAGGAGAAAGTCATTTACATACATGAATCGCCATGGAAGCAGAACCAGTGGTGAAGAACTTCTTCTCCTTCTCAACACAGCCAAACTTTCTTCAACTCTGCGGTTGCGGTTGCTGTTACTGCCTTTCCTTATCCACAGTCACAACAACGAATGGTAAAAATTGTCTTTCTTTGCAAAACTTGGTGAATAGTAGTAGAACACAAACAAACAAATAACAAAAACCTAGTTTTCCCCTTCTCCACTAGAAGGCTAGAATCAACAAATTCTGCACAGAAATGGACTTCTCTTGTTCATCAAAAACACAAACACTACGACACAAATATATTTTCTCATCTCTTCTCTTCTCTTCGTTCAATACTAAATTTTCAGCTCAGAATCACAGAACCCTCCAAGCGTTAGATCCGGTGATCATGCACTACAAAAGCTTGACAATTCAAACTAAATACCCTGAATCCACTAAATGACTTTGTCCACCCCAATTAAAAAGCCTCTTGTGAAGAAAGAAAGAGTTGGTGGTAGAGAGAAACAGAGAGAGGAAAGTTGAAAGCTTGGGGTTACAGAAGTGAGAAGAAGGAGGAGAACACAGAAGAGGAGTAGATAGATATAAAAGCGAAATTGGAAAGAGACTGTTGTGAAGGAGAAAAACAAAAGGAGCAACGAGAGGGTGCCACGTCAGATGTTGAATTTTGTTTTGTCATAGAAAAAGAAAAAGTGTTTTTCCTTTTTTCCCCTCTTAATCGAAATGTCGAGAAGTCGATGGAATCTTGTGGCTAAAATCGAAAGAGGTCCTCCACACGTGGCGTTCGGTTCTCTCGTATGTTGGCTGATGATTGACCATCCCATACCATACACCCTCTTAATTTGAAAAAACAATTAGCACTTTATCGTTTGTGGCATATTTCAACTTGTTTATCTGATCCTTATATAATTATTACACGGCCTCACTCTAGATGCGTAATTTTCGGATTGCGCAACTCCGAAAAAAATTAACACATTCATTCCACGTGAAAGTTAAAGTAAAAATGTTAATTTAACTTCACAACAAAATAAGTTGAAGTTTAGTCGAATTTAACGCCGTGGCCCGTGTGGTCAATCAGTATGTTTCTTGCTATTCCGTTTTTCTTAATTTTTTTTTTTATTTCGTTGCGTGATATAATTGGGTGGGCGAAAACCAATACACAGCGCATTGAGGATAATTCGGACACACAGCATTCTCGCGTCCATCAGTGCTACTGTGCGACTCGCAATTTCACGAGTGCTATGCTTCTTATCATAATTAATTCGTGGCCATTATTTTCCCTGCCCCAATAGCCTTATACAGATAAATGCCATTATTTATACTTTGGCCAAATTCTATATGCAGGGGACTTTTATCGTATTGTTTTTTTTTTTGTATTTCATAAAATAATTGTTTCTTATAAAATATATTATTTTGTCTTACAGAAGATTAGTCAAAAAAATTCAAGTAGTTTATAAGAAGTTGTGAGTTTAAAACTTTTGTTATCTTATGGTATTAAAAAATTAAATATTTTAAGGTTTTCACATATATTTTTGTAATAAAAAAACCATTGGCTTTTTTAATAAATTGATTAAATATGTTACCAAAAAATGATTACATTATAAACATGCATAGAATATAACATTAACGTTATTAACCCCAAGTTTTAGGGTTACTTTTTTGCCTTCTTGTTTTGCAGCAAATTTTGACCCCCATTACGTCATCCATTTTACATTTTTATTTGGGTAAATATTTACCTTACATTCAGTAAACTATTATTATTCATATTTTTAAATAATCAATACATTTCACTTGATAAATATTTACAACTCTTTCCAATTTAGTAATGTTGTTTGTATTTGAAATTTTATAAAGCCGAACTTACAAATCCAAGACGATGAACGACTTTATGGAACAATAATATATAATCATTCATGAAATAAATTGTATAGTATTTGATTTGATTACTTATGTAATAACAAAGAATTTTATGTGAATAACATATACACAACATTTGCATATGACATTAATTAATACATTATATTTTGTATAAAAAGCAAGAGATATATAAAAAAAATTGGTAGAAAGAGATATATAAATTTAATTCAGCATATAATTTATTATAATTAAATAATTATATATTATGATTTAATTTAAATAATTAAAATCTACTAGGTTTTTAAAATATTTTTAAAAAATCTGGAAAAGCTCACCACAAAACATAGGTTAGAGTAGGCTATGAAGATTTTCAACGGGGAAATATATATAAGTGTCCGCGAGCGAGTAACAAAGTGAGGCTACCAAATAGCGTGCAGTTAAACAAGTGGGGGGAATATTCCAATGGAATAAATATATAATTGATAACGAGGTGTTGTTATTATTATTAATATTATTAGCAGCATGAAATTAAAGTAAGAGTGTATTTGAGTTGAGACTTGTGAGAAGGAAAAAAGGGTTTAAAATATCTGGAGCCTAATAAATGAATCAGTGGGGAAAAGAGAGGAGAGAGAGAGGGTAGGCCAAGAGTTGTGGACCAAAAAGAGCGAGAGACAGAGGGCGTCGCTTTCTCCCATGCGCTTTTGGCCACGTCACTGCCACTTGCCGCCCCATTATAATAACATCACCACTTTGTACCCAAAAAAAAAAGTTTTAACTTTTCTTATGTTGTAGGATTGTAGGAGAGAAAAAAAGTAGAGAGAAGTTAAATGTGGGTCCCATATTTTATATTAAAAAAGAAAATAAAAATTAATTGGCACGGAAAACGAATTTGTGTAGGAAAATAGGAGTATCTCATGTGACATTAGAGTATTATTTCCCAAAAAAAAAACACCACCACCTGTACAGTCCCAATAAAGGGATAGAGTGAGTCATTGACATCATTTCACACCACTCGTTTTCTTTACTTCCAAACCTTCCCAATCTTGTGGCCACAACATTTTGTTCGGCTTTTTATTCTTAAAATTCTCATCTGCCTTGATGGGTGTAGAACCGGAAACGTAGCCGCAAATTATAAAAAAATTATTAAACTTTCTTAAAAGTTAAAACATCATCTAAACAATTTTAAGAGGGAAGTTTATTTATTATCTTCTTTTCTTACCATTTATTATTATCAATTTTAATGGTTGAATCAAAATTAAATATCTAGCTCTCTTACTTGATTTTTTTAATGATGATTTATTTTCTATTTAACAATAATAAAATTGGTAGCAAAAGATGGTGAGAAAACAATTATAAATATAACTTATTATTTTTAAATTATTAAAAATTTAAAAAAAAAAAAAAACTATGAACTTATTCGATGAAAATAGTATTTAAAAACAATAATAAAACCTTTCCTTTCTCGTTATATTGATGTTTTAAGAAGATATAAAAATTTTCATAAACTCTGCGAAGAAAAAAGACATTTCAAAATTTTAACGGAGTTTTGGACAGAGGCAGATGTGGGATTGTCGAAGAACGTGGAAGGTTGCAGTCGACATTGAAATTCAATGCGTGAGGGCCAATATGTTTGGCCAGATATTCAGTCCCGCAGCCAATGTTTAGTGGGAGAGACAAGACAGGCCATTTGTAGCTCCGTTAGATACTGCATCATTCCGTGCGCGTCGGCTACGGGTCCAATTGAATTATGATTCCATTTCAACCGCATCAAAAAAATAATTATAATTATAAAGCAAAATTATGAATCGAATTATTCTATTCAAGAACAAAAATTATTTTATTTAAATCAGTTTAAGAAATAATTATTTTCTTAAAATCAATTTAGTTTGAAGAACTCAATCACGGTTCAGTTTTATTTGGATTAAAAATCGAATTAAAGCGAATCATAATTATTTTTAACCTTTTAGGAGTATAAAAAAATGTTCATTTTTTTCTGCAATGTAAATAACTTATTTGCATTGAGTCCAAAATGACGTCGTTTTAGGGTGAAGATCAAGTATTTTTGTAATTATAATAATTTTTTCATTATAATTTTTTGATTTTTCAACACAAAATGATGTCATTTTAAGATGAATATAAATAACTTATCTAAATTTATTGTAGAAAGATTAAAATCATAAAAAAAATTAACTAAATCGCAAATCAAATAGAACTAAATCATATTTTTGTTGAGTTGATTCAAAAATCAAATCATTTTTTTAAATGTAGTTCGATGTGCTCTCACCAAACCACTTTTAAGTTTGATATAGAAAATCAAATTAAACCAAACTATAGACACCCTTATCGGAAGATGCTTTGAATTAGCAGCTTAGCTTTATTAATTGAATGAGAGTCTAATAATATACAGGAACAGCAATAATTCTGTATAACAAAATAAGGAGCTAACAGTTACAGCTGAAACAATAACATATCTTTGTAACAAACTAATCCTACGTATCTGTAACAAACTAATTCTATCCCAATACTATCTGTGGGAGTCACGATGGTCCCGTCAATGACGCCGAGTTTATTCTTGGCTTTAAGGGCATTCTTAAGGAGCTTTGCCCAATTGTCATAATTGGTTTGACCACGAAGGACTACCGTAGTGAGAATAGCTCCTGGGTTATCTGAAGGATGGAGGTAAAAAGGTGATTTAGAATCAGAAGCTTTGAGATTTCTGGGTGCGGAAGTCATGATGGAAAGAAAAAAAAAATTATATAAGGCAGGTTTGGAGATCGTCAGTCTCGGATACCATATCAGAAGATGCTTTGAATTAGCAACTTAGCTTTATTAATTGAATGAGAGTCTAATATATAGACCACTGTTACAACAATATCATGCGCTAATATACAGGAATAGCAATAACAAAATAAGGAGCTAACAGTTACAGCTGAAACAATAACATATCTTTGTAACAAACTAATACTAGGTATCTGTAACAAACTAATTCTATCCCAATAACCCTTAATAATAAAAGCAGTATTAACTTGTGTTTTTCTTTTATATCATATTAACTCACTTAGATACTCATCATTCCATGGGTGCAGCCATTCTTTAATAATTTTATTTTATCATATTAACTAAGTTACAGTTGCTTCGATATATATATATATATATATATATATATATATATATATATATATATATATATATATATATATATATATATATATATATATATATATATGGTTCGTTTATTTGTAGTTATTGCAGATAAGTTGTTTGCAGTAAATTAATACAACGTCGTTTTGGGACGGAAATTATGGTCTTTATATATATAATTTTTTAAGATTTGAATACCAAAACGACGTCGTTTTGGAAATAAATGCAGATAATTTATCTGCAGTAACTGCAGAAACATTTTTTTCCATATATATATATATATATATATATATATATATATATATATTTTTGGTTTTTTGTTTCTTCTATTTTTTTTACTTTAGTCTTTTCTATCACTATTAAAAAAAAAATTAGACAAAAAAGAAATTAGTTTTGTAAGATTATAATATATTTGATCTAATTTTTTATTTTTTCTTTTTAATCCTTGGTCTATTTTTTTCTATTTAGACATATCTAATCTTATTTTTTCTTCTATTTTTTTAATTTAGACTTTTTATTTTTAGTATTTTTTGTTACTATTGTAAATTTCTAATATATGTGGGTTTTTTTTTTTAGTCTATTTTTTCTTTTTTGTGGATTACATCCGGATATTCCCACAGTCGATAGCCATGAGACTAATCCCCTCGCCCCGGGTCAGCGCACAAAGCGGTAAAGAGCTGGCTACGGAATGCTTTCCATTCACAAGAGTTGGTATTCGAACCTCCAACCACATGCTTAAGGGACGAGATGTTGAACCATCACATCCACCCACGTGGTTCTATTTTTTTTTTTAATTTAGACATATTTTATTTTTTCTTATATTTTTTCTTCTTTTAATATTTGCTATAAGTGCTTGTAAGTTTTTAATATATTTTACTTTATTTTATTTTTTTGTCCTCACTTTATTCATATTAGTTAAGTTTCTAATAGTATTAAGGATGAGATTAATTAAAAAAATCATAAGGAATAAGTGATTCAAAGTAAAATCATAAGAGGACTTTTGAATTTTTTCTTAGAAAGAATGAGATAATCTCTATATCAAAATTTAAAATAATATAAAATTAGGCCACAATATAGTTATGGTGGAAATTTTTCAATATATTTCACTTCATTCTCACAGACTCCATTAATGAGATTAAGTTGTCATGTTGCGGCACCTGGTCAATATTGAGTGCTGGCAGCATCTGGTCCTAGAATTAAGCTTTATGAAGTAGGGTGTTCATTACCCGATTCTAACTGATTTAAATCGTAACGACCGAACCGAAAAATCGATAGTCGAATTAACTGAAATAAAAAAATCAAAAACCAAAAATCAAAAAAAGCCTGAATATTTTAATTGGATCGTATCGGATTTCAGTTTGGTTAGTGAAAATCGATCCAATTCAAACTGATCTAATGTATTATGTATTTATTATTTTTGAAAAATAGTGACTTGAAAACTTATTATTTTGTAGACTTGAAATCTTGGATATTATTGATAGAAAACTATCTTGCTTTAGTTTTTTAATATCTATTAATCTATTTTAACTCTTTAACAGTTTTAAGATTTGTTTTAATTTAAAGACTTGAATTTTTTAGTTGTTTATAACTATGAATGACTTTATTTTGATATATTTAGTGATTTGTATGTCTGAAATTCTAGGTTTTTTGGAAAATCAAAAATTGATCCAATTCAAACTGAATAAAAAAGGATTGGATCATATCAAATTTTAAAAATATTTAAACCGAATAGATAAATAAATAATTAAATCAAATGGATTGGATCAGATGTTTTTTGGTTTCAAAATCCATCCAATTCATTCCACAAAAATCCTATTACCAAGTATAAGATGGGACATGTAAATACAAGTTGAGCATCCTGTCACACAGATAGAGTAGAGTCGAATCTTTCACATTTTTAAAAATAAATTATCTAATTTAGATTAGACTATTGGCTCAGATCATATTCAAAAATGTTCCTATCTGATTAATTGGGATATCCAACCTAACAGTTGATATATTTATATTGAATTTGTGTGCCCTCTCTCATATATATGTGGAAGAGATACCTTAAAAAATAGCTAATATTACTATACACTATAATATTTACCGTATAGCCAAAAAGTGAGGTGTATGCATAATAATAGTAGGAGAATGAGAGTTTAAAATGTGTGTACTTTATTGACTTAACCTCTTATAGATGGGTTATTTGGCTGGACTTATGGGACACTTAGAAATATTGAGATTACAGTTGTTGATCCATTACTGTCATAGTAAGATTAATATAATTAAAAAATCTTTTATTAATTTTCTCTTAGGAGTAACTTTTTTGGGACCTTCTAGAATATATATTTTTGTCATGTCCTTGATAAAATAATATTTTATATAGATATGTCAAAGCCTAACCCGGTTTATTTATAGATGTAGATAGGTTTAACCTTTTTTGTTTTATTATTAAATCACTTTTTTTATCCTTTAAAACTACTTATACAATAAATACATCAGACTTATGTCCTCCTCATTGCGAGAGCCGAACCTCTTGTCTTCTTTCCCTTAGCGTGTTTGCAACGCTTCTGCCTTGTTCATTATCAGGTCGCTGTGTCTAGGACGTGCTTGAATCGAATCGAATTTTTTGAAAAATTGAACTGAATTGTTTTAAATTATTCGATTCAGTTGGAAATGATTCGGTTCGGTTTGGAACCGATTCAGGTCGATTATCTTTAGAAAAAAAAATTAAAATTTAAAAAATAAAGTTATAAAAATTAATTTGGTTTGGTTTGAAAATAGTTCAGTTCGAAAACAGTTCGGTTTGATTCGGTTCTTAAACTGGTTCTAAAAATCGGTTCGGCTCATGAACTGGTTCTTTAAAAACTGATTCGGTTCATGAATTAATCTTTAAAAATCAATTATTTTAAAGTCAATTCGATTCGGTTCAATTTTTTAATTATTTTGCACATCCCTAACTGTCTCACTGTCACTCTCGTGTTTTTTGGCTTCCTATTGTTAGGGTAAGCCCTTGTTATTCTCCTTTGTGGTATCTAAACTATGTAGTATACATACATTAAACCAACAACATATCTAACTTTCCGAATTGGCCTTAGGTGCAAGAGCAGGCACATCATTCTCTCTCAGGTGAGATCAGAAAAATCTCCCTTTTAATCATGGGAAACATTCACAATGTTGAGCCGTTTTTTCTGGGCAATTCTTCCGAGATTGTCCTGCACAAAACCCGGAGTTGGAAAAGCATCATATGCTCATGATGTAGATTGGTACTTCTAATGTAAGACAACAAGAAAATGCCAGGATGCTCATATGAAATGCCAAAGCCATATGGGATATGCTTCCTCAAGTTTTAATAATTCATCAACCTCAGCTTTTGAGCCCTTGAAAATTAATTATGGCTTTAAGATGAATTAGCACTGGATTGACACTGTTCAATAACCTATTTCCATAGAAGAATAAATCATTTACTGAAGAAAAGGAGTGAATTTCAAAAGCATCGCTAAAATGCACAAACACTAGATAAACAAGTATAGATTAAGCACCACCAGGGATAGCCTAGTGGTGTTGGGTGTGTTTAGGGAGTGTTAGGTTCGCTGTTTGATTTCATGTAATATCCAAAAAAAAAAAAACAAGTATAGATTAAATTTATTCTCAATGTAATTTTATCCATGGACCAATATAAAATGTGGAATAATCCAAATTTTTTTTACAAATTACACTAAGTATGACTGGTCATATACTATTGATTTTGAAGTATGACCGGTTATACTTAGTTTTTAAGAGTTTGTAAACAAAATGTTTGTAAATATAATTTTCTCCATATAAATTTAGGGTAAAACATTTCTCCTGTCAACGGAGATAAGTTATCTCCGGTGATCACAAAACGACGTAATTTTATGACGGAAATCAAAATATTTTTGTTATTTTAATTTATTGCAGGATTATATTAGTCTTTTAATATTATAATTTTTTAATTTTATAACTTAAAACTAAATCATTTTGGGCTCACTGTACGACCGCAGAAACACTTTTTCCGTAAAATTAACTAAAAATTGTTCCGAAGTCCATCATCTTCTAAGATGGCTGCCACCATGTCTTGATTCTCTGGAATACAGGGTTTTACATTGTGGTTACTTTACGGTCAATTGCGGCCCATACAGTCCCCAATCAAAAGTCTAACGCAGCTGCAGCAGCTACATCAAGCGAGATGTTGTAGCCACATCACATGATGTTAAAAAATTATTGAATTTTCAAATATAGAGCCAAATCATGATATCAAAATCCATAAGCGTTGATCTTCATTGCTGTACTGGACATAAACAAACGAACATACAAAGAACAGAAATTTCAAGCGTGTGATAAGTTGATATTTTGAACTCAAACAATGAAAGCAACATAAATAAAATACGGAAGAACCATGGAGGAATAAGGAAGTGAAGCCTTTTCTAAACTTCAAAATTATTTTTTATAAACTTATTCTGTATCCGGACTTGAATGGTTGATCCTGCTACGTTTGTTTCAATGTAAATTAAGTTGATGATTGTGACGCAAATATCATAATAATTTCTGCACGTCTTAAATTGTAAAGTCCATCACGAGGAAGAGGAACCGGTTTAGGATTGTTTTGCCACAATACTTCTATCTTTATTTATTTTTTGGGTCAAAAGAAGCTTCTAAATTCTAAAACCATGAATTTGGCACTCTAGAACAGAAGCCCACAGCTTAAGAGAGCCCAACTTAAAAAAGACCAATGGGCTACCTTATTGCTTGCGTGAAAGACGCGCCACTCTTTTCGACGATTGGACGAGAGCATGAGAGCGGGGTGCGTACCAATGCGTGATATATTCAGTTGCTAGAGAAGCATATTCTGTCCTTAAAATAACTAGACTACAATAGAGTTTCGTTTTGGTGTCAATTTCTGCAAGCACCACCACACCCTCTCTTATATCACCACCATCATCACATCACATCACATTCTCATTCACACTCTTCACCTTATTCTCTATCCTCGTTCTCTTCTCTCCACACGTAGCCTCGCATCCTTCCTCTTCTCTCGAAGCTATGGCCACTGCTACCGAGAAGCTCTCCAATCTCAAACCCGCTGTTGCCGGATTGAACCAGATCAGGTCTCTCCCTTTCTCATTTCCAATCCTTCAATTTTGTTTTTCCTTCATTCTCTTTCTCTCGTTAAACTGTGAAAACCTTTTGTGATCTCCGATCCGAATCTGATCTGTGTTATTATTTACAGTGAGAATGAGAAGAACGGATTCATCAACCTCGTCTCTCGCTATCTCAGGTGAATCACTATGTCGGATCCTCTGTTATTGATAAACTTGTGTACACTCTGCGAGAAGTTCCGGTGAATCATTTTTTTTCTCTCTTCTGATTAACGTTATCTTTTTTAATGTGTTACAGTGGCGAAGCTCAGCATGTCGAATGGAGTAAGATCCAGACTCCTACTGATGAAGTGGTTGTGCCTTACGAGAGCTTGGCGCCAACTCCTGATGGTAGCGAACCATTTCGTTCTGTTTGCTTTGGTCGATTTGATGTTGTAATAGAGTTCAGTGTGTTTACGTGAAACAAAATCGTGCAGGTTCTTCAGAGATAAAGAATCTCTTGGACAAGCTTGTGGTGTTGAAGCTTAATGGAGGCTTGGGGACAACTATGGGTTGCACTGGTCCAAAGTATGTCTATGCCTGTGCCTATGCCTAATCGGACATAATTATAGTTTACTTCGGATGGCGGGAAATTTCAATCTAGATTTGAGATTAAGATCATGTATCTGATTTTGATTGAATATTGACCTCCTGTTTTTCTAGCTCGATGCTGATCGAAAGACATAAACTATAGGATCGATATAGGTGTGTGCTTGGCATTTTGTTTCAAAGAAAATCCGTGTGCCTCCTTTTATTCAAGGGGAAAAAAATGTATAATATTTTTCAACATATTGAATCTACGGAGAGTAGAAAATTAATTCGATGACCTGTTCTGGAATAAAAATTTCCTGAAGGATTACTGTCTTAAATCACCATTTTCAGCTACTCGTATCTGTATGTAAGTCTTAATTTTGTATGTAAATTAATGCAGATCCGTCATTGAAGTTCGTGATGGGTTGACATTTCTAGATTTAATTGTCATCCAAATTGAGGTTATTTTCTGATCCTTCTTTTGCTTGATTTTTATATTGTCCCCCCCTTTCTCCCTCCCTCTTTTTTTCATTTGGACTTACCACTGATAACTAAAATCGGTGTAGAATCTCAATTCCAAATATGGAAGCACTGTTCCTTTGCTTTTGATGAACTCATTCAACACTCATGATGACACTCAAAAGGTGCACGTCCTTTGCCTTTTATCCCCTCTGCTGAGTAGAATTATAGCCGATTTTGCATGTGAACTAACATTCTGACTGTTTGTAGATTATTGAAAAATACAAAAACTCGAATATTGAGATTCATACTTTTAACCAGGTTTGTAACTGTTTTCTTGTTCTACTATCTTATGGATTTTCTGGAATTTGAGCTTTAATTTCTTGTTTTGACAATTTGTTGCACTATTGAAATATATGCAGAGCCAGTATCCTCGATTGGTTGTGGATGACTTTTTGCCATTGCCCTCCAAAGGGAACACTGGCAAGGACGGATGGTATGATTTCATTTGTATTTTTTTACTGTACTATTCTACTATTGCGTTGATTTGATTTCACAACTTTCACTAGATTTATGTCTTTCTTCTGTCTTTTTTTAATTAGCACTGATAAAATAGTACATGGTTAATTAGATATACATCCAAAGAAATGCATGTTAATCTATATGAAAAACTTCAAGTGAATGATATTTTGTTTAAAGCTCCTAACATACTTTAGAGTACGTGGACTCTAAAGCTCCTAACATATTTTTTGTTTATAGCGCCACCCTGTCATTGTTGATGTGCGAATTTCTTCGATGCTGATTTCTTTCAATATATCCCGACCGCTCGCGAGTCCTTTTTATGTATTTGTATTTAATGTTTGGTCAGTGCTTTGGTTGTCATTCAAAATTCAAATTGTAATTATATTCTTCTTTCAAATATGTGGCTTAACACATGATTGTTCAGGGTACATATTTCATTGGATCGCTTAAGTTGTGTGCCCCCCCCCCCCCCCCCCCCCCCCATGATTTGATCTTCAAATGTCAAAGTAGTTGATTTATTATGAGAATAACAAAAATTATCATAAAATTGTTCTTCCCGACTGACAGCAGACATAACTGATAGCAGAAACCTCATGATGAATTCATGCATCTTTGGTATTAAGAGAAGAAAGGTTTAATATTGTTTATATAAAAATTGTAATTAAACATCAACAACACCTTAATCCCAAACCGTTGGGATTCGTAGTAGATTAATCCAAATAAAAAGCAATAGAATATGTATAGACTGTTTTTGCCTTCTTCAAACCTTTTGGACCAGAAGTTACATGCTTGTCATTAGAGTAAGGTTTGCTGGGGTAAGCCCCAATTAAGTATAATGGGATATAATTAATCACGTAGTTTTAATTGTCCTATATGTCATGGTTTAAAAGTAATATCATGTTGATAATATGTCTTAGACCCCAACAAATATCATATTATGGTTATTTTGAAAGTGGCACCTTTGCTTTATGTCGTTTTCAATCAGAAAAATGTTCAAGCTAGTTGAAACGAACCTTGAGCTCATCTGCTAACAGAGTTCCAAGTTTGGCTTATGAGTAACTCTTGTGAATAGGTACCCTCCTGGCCATGGGGATGTCTTCCCATCATTATTGAACAGTGGCAAACTTGATGCACTATTATCAAAGGTTGACCCCAGAGCTCAACTTGTTTCTAGTTGGACTGTCTTTTATTTATTTATTTCCAAAACCATTATCATCACTACTTTTTTCTTTTCCCTTTTGTTGTTATAGGGTAAAGAGTATGTGTTTGTTGCCAATTCGGATAACTTGGGAGCTATAGTTGACTTGAGTATCCTTATTTAAGTTTTCATTGATTCTTTCTTTTCCAATTATTCTCTCTGGCTCTATTGCTTATTACTTATGCATGAAAACTATGTTTTTAGCGCCATCAGTGTACTTGACTCATCAATTTAGAAATCTTAAATCATTTGATCCAGAACAAGAATGAATACTGTATGGAGGTAAGGGAAGATGGCTGTTATCAAGTGACTTCGTATTATTTTTAGACTTAACATCATTTCAATGTTTTATATGTGTTTATTATGCAGGTGACTCCCAAAACATTGGCAGATGTAAAGGGTGGAACTTTGATTTCTTATGAAGGAAGAGTTCAGGCATGTAATTTTTCTGGTTTCGTTTCGCCACAACCAAGATTTTATCTGATTAATTCAATACTCTAGTTATAGCAAATTTTTTAAATCTCTTTTCAAACTTGCTTCTGTGTAATTATAGTTTGTCCTTAGCTTTTATATAGGGAAAACCTGTTGCACAAGGCTCCCCGACTTTGTGAGTTTAGAGGTGATAGTTAAATGATTGTATGCAGTCTTAGTCTTACCCTTACATTTTTGCAAAAAGGCTATTTCCCGAACTCAAACCCATGGTCTTCCAATTAAAAAGAAGTAAACTATCTGCACTTTTTTTTATCAAATATATATATATATATATATATCCTTCCAGAGTTCAACAATATCTTGTTTTCGACTCATTGGTTTTTGTCTCTTGAAAGAAATAAGAAAATTAAGATCAATTGTGAAACCTTAAGAAGAACATTGGTGTCGTGTAACATTTATCTTTGATTCTTTAATGCAGCTCCTGGAAATCGCCCAAGTCCCAGATGAACATGTAAGCTACTATATCTGTCTCTTATTCTTGAATCATCCCCCACTCCCAAGTGTAGGTAACTTTTTTAAATAAATTTAGCTATTTTATGTAAATAGAATTCTATGAAAAATATGGATAATGAGTAATCATTTATAAATTTATTGAAATGGGATTGACTTGTTTGTTTTAAATTTTTTATGCTGTATTCAAGGACCTAGTTGAACTGATGCTAATGCATTACCTGTTTCATGGGAGAGATATCGTATTTGGTTAAAACTTGTTTAATATAAAAGTGAAAGAAAAAACATATAATTGAAGTTGCACAATATTTCCTTTCTGGAAAATCTTTGAAGGTTCAATTGAAAATGATACATTGTCAGCTGTTACTTTGGTAACTACTCTTTGTTAAGGAAAGTCCAGTAAAGTGAAATAGATAAGGAGTTCTTAATACAATTGCATGACATATTTTGCTTTACAAGCAGTTGATAACTGTTGATGTTATGAAGTTATGAACTGTTGACATTCTTTTTGTCAAAATTTATCCAATATTCACATTGGTGGTATAATGTTTATAAAATTAAATCACAATACATGCTTTTGCAATTATTTTGATACAATCTGTGGAAGCTGGAACTTTTCATAAATGATGATGATAAGCCTTGACTTTGGTGGAGAATAGAGAAAAGATTTGCTTATTATTCCATTCACATGTAATGCTCTCTTCTATGCAGGTCAGTGAATTCAAGTCAATAGAGAAGTTCAAAATTTTCAACACAAATAATTTGTAAGTTTTGCTGGTTCTTGCCCTGATTGTTTTATATTATATACACATAAATAGGTATTGACAGTAATCTACAGGTGGGTGAACTTAAAAGCAATTAAAAGGCTTGTTGAAGCTGATGCTCTTAAGATGGAGATTATTCCGAACCCAAAGGTTCAAATTGCTTATTTTTCAAGTGATAGCCTATATTTCCTTATTTTCTTTTCAGGGGGATGGGGTGCTCTACTGTGCATTGGTTGTTTGACAGTTGATATTTAGTTGGAAATTTGCTGACAAAATTTGTGGATTTGTAGGAAGTTGATGGAGTAAAAGTTCTTCAGCTGGAAACTGCAGCTGGTGCAGCGATAAGGGTACTCAATGTTTATTAACACTTTAATAATGTGTTCTTACTGCTGTAACTTTCTTCTAGTGCTTTTAATTTCACATCTTTTTTTAACAGTTCTTTGACAAGGCTATTGGTATTAATGTTCCTCGATCCCGATTCCTTCCCGTGAAGGCAACTTCAGACTTGCTTCTTGTCCAGGTTATAAGCTTTTCTGATACTAGGCGTGAAATCTTGCTTTGAAATTGATTTGAGCCTTTTATTGACATAATTAGTTGTCTTGTTACTCAGTCGGACCTCTACACTTTGGAAGATGGATTTGTAATTCGGAACAAAGCTAGGGAAAATCCTGAAAACCCTTCTATTGAATTGGGGCCGGAATTTAAGAAGGTTAAGATCTATATTACTGATTACATGGTGTTAGATGGTGACTTAACTATAATACTAATTTTCTTATTATCCTTCACAGGTTGGCAACTTCTTGGACCGGTTCAAGTCAATTCCTAGTATTGTTGAGCTCGACAGTCTAAAAGTGGCTGGTGATGTATGGTTTGGAGCTGGTGTTATTCTCAAGGTATTGTGGATTTAATCCTTAATTATTCTGTTCTTTAGCTTTGTGTTCCATTCTAAGTGTGGCAGACTTACTGTAATAATTCAAACTAATTGAGTTTTATAATTCAATATATCCCATATTATTATCTTAAATTTCAGATCCCAATATAATTAAGTTACTTAATGGACCAGAGAAATGCTTCCTTTTTTTACTATAACTCATCATTGTTATCATAGTTTCTTTTTTATTTTTTTCTCCTGTTCTTTGACCTATATATAAATGCATGAAACCTTAATATATCCATAATTAGCTTGTAAAATTTCCCCTTGCTATGATTAATGTCAGTTTGCATTTTATTACTACACGAGCTTAGAATTGTTTTCCTAATGTTTGGTTGCATGAAATCAAAATCTTGAAATAGTAACCGCAGCCAGTTGAAATGTTATTTCAAAAATCATTGAAGTCCAGAAATTTTCTAGTACTTCGGTTTAAGTAACTAAGAATGTCAGCAAGAACCAGATTATATTTTATAGTTATAGGTATATTTTAGTCCCCATGGTTTCCACTAATTTGCATTCGGTCCCTATAATGTTATTTGTATTACAGTCCCTATATTTTACTTATTTGATTTTTGGTCCCTATCATAGGGTATTAGTCCCTATACTTTTCAGTTTTTTGGGTTTTAGTCTTGATAGTTTATATTTATCAAAAGATGATCCCTATTTTCCATGAAGGATTCGTCCTTATGGTTTAACTTATTAAGGTAGTGGTCCCTTAATGGCATGACATTATAAGGACCTATACCCAAGAAGAAAAAATTGGGATCAAAACTCAAATGAGGGACAATTATGCGGGTCCAAAATCTGCCTTAAATCTTATTTAATTGTAGTCCAAACTGACCCAGAACTATTTTGACTAGATTTTCAGTTTATGTTCTGACTGCCAGTAAATTATTCTGCCCTCACCTTTTTAAAATTCCATCCACGATTGGGAAAGAGTTATAAAAAATCGTATTACTTTGCTTTCTGATTTCTGTTGTTTTTCTGGTGCCTTTACAGGGGAAAGTCAGTATCGTAGCAAAACCTGGTGTAAAGCTGGAAATTCCTAACGGAGCTGTAATTGCGAACAAGGTATTTAACTATATTTGGATATTATTTGTCACCGTGAGGTTGTCATTCTACTTATTATGCCTAAAGGTTGAATTGCCATGCGCAGGAAATTAATGGCCCAGGTGACCTGTGAGGAAGCTAATGAGTTTAATGCATCAGACCGACCGTATACAATCTTGACAGTCTTGTGTTATTTCAATTATGTATTACTCCAACTTTGATAGGAAAATAAAATAAGGTGTATTTTGTTGAGGATGTCTCAGTATGGAGCTTTGCTGGTTTGTCTTGTGATTCTGTTTAGAACAAAAATATCACTAGGTCGGTCATGAGTTCTTCATGATATTAGTGTTCATGCCATTTTGTATAATAACGTTTCCTGTCTGTTTTTGTTACCATGAGATGAGGTCTCGAACGAGTATTATAATTGTTATAGTTGTGTATTGTTGGGACAGCTTCTCGGTCTTCTTTTTGCCACCCCCTTTCTCTCTGTTACATAGAAGGGGGAAAACAATCCCTCACACAGTCTAATATCCCGATCGAATAGTCATATGTTGGCGTTTGATCCATTGCGGTGTTTCAATAGCCATTTTGCATATTTGATGTAGGCGTTTGATATGTCTGGAAAAATATTTCTCAATACGGAGGGTTGAGTTTCGCATGCAATTTTTTATTTTTTTTAAATGAGTGCTGAATGGGATCATTAAATTTTCTTTTAAAAAAAGAAAAATCCAGATTGTGTCACGTGCTGCAATCTGGATCCTCTTTCTATAAATATCTCAAATGTTTTATCAAACAACTTCTGGATAGGAAAGATTCAAATTCAGGAACACGAGGCGGAAAGGGATGAGTGAAAATAATGCAAAAATAATATATTCCAGCTGGGACTATTATTAATTTAAGGAAATACAAGTTCGGGTTTGACAAACCATAGTTCTTGCCGTACAAATTAATTTCACTCTTGCACTTTCACTCAACAGAATTTGAGATCATTTTTAATAAATATAGTCTTCTTCAACAAGTCCGCATCACACCTGAAGGCTGCAGTTTATTCCTTTGTTGATTATTGATGATTTCTTAATAAGCATGAGGAACTTAATTCAAACACAAAAAAATCCTTCTGAGTTTGAGTTTCACCGTAATGGCTTTTTTTGAAAGCTTTGGAGCATTTACCAAAAGAAAGCTATCAACAGAGACATGAACTATTTTTGCAGGAAGTAAACTATCCGGTACGGATAAAGGCAATGAATTCCTGATAAATGTAAAGCAAGGTTGTAAAACGCTGCAGAGAATCCCACACCACCGCCAATCCAAAAGGTCCTAAGATAAGATTTATATTCCAATGTACAGCACGAAAATCCAGAGTTATCAGCTCAAGCATGCATCACAAGTCTCTCACATAGTAACAAGCTCATAAACATACACTAAAGAGATTACAGTAGACATGACTACAAAGAAACTTGAAGTAGCGCCATGGCCATGCAGCTCTAGTAACCAAATTTTCATCATGAGGGCTAAAACAAACTCCAGATATAGAAGCAGCGGTAGTACTCTAATCAAATATGAACCAGACACTTTTCCCCCCTTTTTTACTACAGGCAAAACTAGCTATAGAAATGTAAATGTGAGAGAAAGACAAGCTGTGAAAAGCAATTTCTAATTGGTTCCTGTTGGAGCTGACCCTCATAAAATGTGGAGGGCGGCCTAATACAGTTTTCAACTCCAACATGTTTATTTCGAGCTTTCAAAGGTGAAGCAACAAACAAAATCAACTCAAAGCCGAACGTTGCCATTATTCCCGTCAGTATTAAATGGAGAGAATTCTTATTTTAGATCTTTCATGTCCGCCTCAGAATTTCAATTTTCCCAGTTTACAGCACCGAGAAACATAAAAACACTGGAGAAATGGAAATTGCATAATTCTAATGCACGCCAAAAAAAATATTAATATTAATATATAATCCGATTATTAGATCTCTTTCCACCACTTCCTAATCCATGTATATTACTACCAACAAAATTTGACACCAGAAAGCCGACCAAATTTTACTGTATAATTTCTTTTTCATAGCAAATTCCTTTCAACCAAATATTACGACAAGTTTGGGGATAGGAAAAGCACTAAACATGAAATGGGCTAAGAGAAGTTTGATTTCATTTGTTTACAGCCCTAAAAATAGGTGGGAAAATGTAGAAACACGCCCACCCTCGGTTTTTTCTCCACATCCCTTAAGTCCTAACTAAGCATGCTACGTAACATCAGAACACCGAAACCCCAATCAAACACCGGTAGATCCAAAGCCACCCTCACCTCTGAGAGTGGGATCCAAATCATCAACCTCAGCAACATCCGGGGTTACGATCTGCTCGATGATCAGCTGTGCAATCCTATCTCCAAGCTTCACCTCAAAATCGACATCGGAATGATTGAACAGGATCACACCAACCGGACCCCTGTAATCAGCGTCGATCACCCCAGCACCGACGTCGATCGAATGCTTCCACGTCAACCCCGACCGTGGAGCTACAAAACCCCAAAAATCCCCAAATCAACACTAGATATTAAAAAAAAAAAAAAGAATAAACAATTAACAACGAAACAATAAAAAAAGAAACAAACAATTAATTACCAACGCGAGCATAGGTCCCTTGTGGAGTAGAAATGCTGATATCAGTAGCCACCAGAGCCTTCCCTCTTGCTGGCACCTTCGTCTCCACCGCACTGCCAAAATTAATCCAAATAAATAAATTGATTTAACTCCATGCTATACATGATGTACAGAGAGAGTGGAAGCCCTAGAGGGCAAAATGGCCTTGTCCGAGAGTTTCTTCACTCGGATAAGAAGAGGGTCGGCAGAAACGTCGCCGTTTTTGTGGAGCTTAGGGATCTTGGGCGAAGGCTCTTGAATCTCGGAGCAGTTGTTGGCGTGTGACTCTGGTCGGGCCATTCTGAGAACCGTGCTTGTGTGCGCCAAAGGGAAAATGAAATTGGTGAGGATGGAAATGAGAACGGAGGGTGGTTTTATATAGAGGGGCAATATCCAATGCAATCATGGCGCCAAAATTTCCCGCCATTTTTTCGGTAGAGTTTGGAATTAGATCGTCGAGAATGTGAATGTATGCAGCTTCAGTTGAGTTCAGTTGAGGAGACAGAGTCTTCAATTCAATAATACTCCATAACTCTCAATTTTTATTTTATTTTTTAAAAAAAAAATGGAGGAAAAATATTTTTTTGTAAAAGTTATAAAGCCCATGAGATAGTCCACTCAACGAGACACCGCAGTGTAAGAAGGTTTATATTCTTTATTTCTCTGTAAATTAAAATTAATCACGAAAAAAAAGGTATGTTCGGCTTTCATGGAATTTCGATTGTATGTATTTGGACAATTTTAACCTTATATTTTGTTCAGTCTATCACTTCTATTTTTAAAAATGTAATTAAATACTCCAAACTCTAATAGCAATATCAGATGCAGCGGAGGGTGTTTGTTGGAAAACGAAGCGAGCAAGTCATTTTGGCCCTTATATTTTCACATTTGCTAATGATATTTTATTTTTTCCGGAGGCATCATATGCTCTGTTAGATAATATCAATCATGGGGTGCCCCAGCTCTTTTTATGTGAAGCCACTTGTCAGATAACCAACAAACAAAACACAATATTTTATTCTTAAAAAATATAAATCGTTGGAGAAGATATTTTATTCAGAATAAATTCACAAAATTCTCCATTAATATAATCATGTCAAAGTAAACGACAAGGTGTATAGATAATTTAAGGAAATGGACCATCTCATCTTCTTTTTTTTTTGGTAAGAAAGGATGATGATTTTTTGGCATATCCTCGGGCCCCAAAGATTTTCCAAAAAACTGCTTGAGGCAGGGTTTGATCCTGCACTAAGCAATCCCTTGAGAGCTCAGCTGCCAACTGAGCTACCCTTGGGGGTTGGACCATCTCATCTTAAAAAAACATGAGATGATTATATGAAAAAATCACAAACATATAAAGATGAATTAATGATGATGATTTTATAATTATTTATTTTAATATTGCTTTCTCCCTCTTTCTTTATAATGTTGATCTATTTTTGTGTTACAATTCCTCACATGATCATGTAATATTTTCTTTAATACATAGTATCAAATCTCATAATTTAATAGCAATAGAGTTTCACAAGTTTCTCAATGAAATTAATGTAATTTGAAAAAATTCAAATAATACTATTTATAAACATAATACAATATAACGCAGTAACTTCATCACACTTTATCTCTGCGATTTCACCGCATGTCTTCACATATATGTTTAAAAAAAATAATCCTAGGTAAAATGGCGACTAATTTTGTATTAGTCCCCAATTCTGAAATTAGTCATGGTTTAAATCATGCTTATTTTTTATTATAAGGTGTGAAACTCATTTGCCTACCAAAATAAATAATATGAAACTCATTAGTCATTATATTAAATTCTTATGTTTTCCGCTTAAGTAAGGTCTTTGATTTAAGTTATTGCAAATGTAAAAGAATCTCTTCAGGAGAGCTAGCCCCACCATGAAGTGAATATTCTCAGCTCGAATATTGTCTTCTTTGGAGGATATCTGTGATTTATCCCAAAAAAAATTGATATTTTGAAAAAACATTGCATAAATAAGGCCAATGTCCAAAGTTTTACACCATAAAATAAGCATTTCATACGTAGACAAGTGAGAAAAATGAAATTAACTTCAATTATTGTTAGACAATATACCAAGTATACACTTCAAAATAGTTAGAAAGTAACAAATTAATTAATCATTCTAACTAATTTAGTTACAAACTAATTAATGACTAATTACAAAACTCCTCCAAGTTGAAGTGTGTGCACCAAGCACAACTATCTTGAATAGCAGAGGAAATAATGATGAAGATAGTAATGGCTTCGTGAAGACATTAGCCAAATGATGTTAAAAATGAATAAACATCAACTTGATCATTAAGAAAATGGCAGTTGATGTACATACTGAGAGACAGAGAGAGGGTTATACCTAAAGAGATCATAATCGGCAGAGAGTGGAAGCCCTAGAGGGCAAAATGGCCTTGGCCGAGAGTTTCTTCACTCGGAGAAGAGGAGTGTCGGCAGAAACGTCCCTGTTTTTGTGGAGCTTAGGGATCTTGGGCGAAGGCTCTTGGATCTCGTAGCCGTTGTTGGTGTGTGACTCTGATTGGGCCATTCTGAGCCGTGACGTAGCCACATTATGATTCGGTGGGGCCTAGGCTCCGGCTACATTTCAATAAATTTTATTTGTTATATATAATTATATAAGTAATTATAATTGGGTTATAACTAAAATTGTAAGTTGGCCCTCGCTAAATTTGTAACAATGGTAACATACGAAGATTTGGAGCTGCTTTCCTTGTATGATCATATAACAAATTGCTTTCTTCTTCTTCTTTCATCTTTTTTCAATTAGGAATTTCTTCTAACTTTTTTTTTCTTATTCGCACTCACCACCCGAAACTCAACCATTCTATGACAAGGTGTGATGTTTTGTTCCTTTTTCAAGATTTTAGGAATACATATTCTTGGAATATGCATTGGTAATTATATTGTCCTCTCGGGAAAAAATTGATTTATATTTTTGAACCTTGTAAAAGAGAAACTTTTTGTTTTTGCTGACCATAATTATTTATTGGGTGTTTTTAACATGAGAAATTCACTACCCTTTTTTTATTTATAACTTTTTGATTTATAGGTCTAGCCTGGCCTATTATAAAAAATTAAAAAATCTAATTCGACCTGTAAGGCCTACCAAGTTGCAAATTAAAGTGTATAAGCCTCAAACCAAATTAAAATATAAAAGATAAAAAAAATTCACAAAGATCACATGAAATAAATTTTCATTAACATCACATGAAATAAATGTTCATTAACATCACATGAAATAATATTCATAAAGATCACATGAAAATATTCATAAAAATCACATGAAAATTTCATATATGTAATACATATGCATATTATTTGCACTTTCTTTACTAATTTAATTTTATATTATATTTTAAATTTTAAATAAATATTTATTATTTGTTAAAGTAACATCAATCCTATTACTTTATAAATTTTAAGTAAATTTTTTTCATAATAGATTTGTATAATTATGAAAATATTTTAATAATTTGATATGTCAAATTTTTTAACACCGACTAAAAATAAACCCTAGCTCCGCCATTGATTATGAGAACATGCTTGTGTGCACCAAGGGAAAATGAAAATAGTGACGAGGGAAATGAGAAAGGAGGGTAGAGTTTCTAGAGAGGAACAATGCCCAATGCAATCACGGTGCCAAAATTTTCTGTCATTTTGTCAATTGCTTTTGGAATTGGATCGTGGAGCGAGAATGTACCATGCTTGCTGCAGCGTCAGTTGAGTTGAGGAGACACTTTGAGTCTTCAATTCAATATCATTCTATAACTGTCAATGTTTCCTTCTTCTTTTTTTATTTTGAAAAAACAGAGGAAAAATATTTTTTGGAAAAATTATAAAATCCGTGAGATGGTGCACTCAAGGAGACACCGCAATGTAAGAAGGGATATATTCTATATTCCTATGTCTAATTAAAATTAATCACGAAAAAGGGTATGCTTGACTTTCATAGATTTTCGATTGTATAAATTTAGAGAATTTTAACCTTATTTTTTTGTACAGTCTATTGCTCCTATCTTTAAAATGTAATTAACATACCCTAAACTCTATGGTAGATTGTCTCTTACCTCTTATACAATTAATAACAGATGCGGTGGATGATGTTTATTGGAAAACCAAGCGAGCAAGTCAATTTGTCTCTTATTTTGCTAATGACAATTTGTTTTTTTCCGGAGGTGTCATATGCTCTGTTAGACAGTATCATTCATTAAAAGGTGCCTTAGCTCTTTTTATGTGAAATTACTTCTCAGCTAATCAACAAATAAAACACAATATTTTATTCTCAAAAAAGAGAGAGAGGAAATGATATACTTACCACCAAAAAAGTTTACCACATTTACAATCAATTTAATCACCGTTGATTTCTGTTAATCTAATGACAATTTATTGAATTTATTAAGAATTAATAATTAATTAATAAATGAGATCTAATAAATTATAGGGCAAATTACATGATACCACCTTGTACTTAGGTATTTTTTCAAAAAGGCACCTTGTACTTTCAATTAAAACAATTACCCACCTTACACTATAACATTTAATCAATTAAACATATTTATTAATTATAAGACAAAATTAACCTTGTTCTCAATCACCACACCCATAACTCAGCCTTCGCCACCAACCACCATTTTTCACTTCCATTCCATCCACAGTTTAATGAAGAAAAAAATGGTGATTATGGGTCTATGTCATATAAGAAGAAACACAATTTTCTGGCAAAGAAGAGAATGAAAATATATGTTAAGTAAATTGAAGCAATATCTTGCTTTTCTAAAATAGTCAGATATATGGTGTTACTGTTATACTAAGGTAGCATCTGGAATTTGGGATTGGGTAAGGGAAAGATAGGGTGAGTGTGCACATCCTGATAGTTGCACTATTTTTTAATATTGCTGATTCAACGATGTGTTTCCGGTGAAATTAGTTTCTTGCTTATTCAAAATTTCAGTACAGCAATTAAGAGCCTTTATGGTCTGGAAACATTGTCCCCCAACTTCATGTCTCTGATTCAGATGGCAGAGCTATATGTTCTAATTTTTTTTTTTTTTGGATAACTATGTTCTAATTTTTAGGTTACGAATGATAATTGAACAATGTAAACCAGAGTATCATTTGAAAGCTAGTTTAACTCACTATGAACTGCAATATTCGTGTCAAACTGTAATCAAGAATTATTTAATAATTTATGTAAGGAATTACAGGACTGGCAAGAATAGCAATTCCAACATCGTATTTTGAATCTAATGGGTTCTTATTGGATATTTATTCTTGGGTATCTCACCACCATGTGAGATGAAAAACAAAGCATTAGAAGAGAAAACTTTCCAAATAAGGACAACGCAGATGAGAAATAGATGAAATCTAAGATCTAAAAGAAGGCATAAAAAGCAGAGAGAGGGCGAGAAGCCCTCTTTTTTCCTTTGTCTTACAATTACATGATACCATTGTATAATAAGCAGAGAGAAAAAGTGACAGGGCATAATCACAATTTTATTTTCGTTTAACTCGAAATGTACGACTAGTGAAAATGGATGGTTGGTGGTGGACGCTGAACAATCATGAGTATGGTGATTGAGGATAGGGTTAATTTTGTCTTAAAATAAATAAATA